ACAACGGATACGGTGCAGGACTATTTCTATACTACATGAACGCTACGCCTTTTCTCTGTTTTTAAAATTTTTTGTATCCTGAGCCCACGCCTCCTACCATCGCCCGTTCGGTAACGTCGACTTCAGTCAGCCTTGGAGAAAACTGGCCTGATCACCCATGCTCTTGTCAACGCACTCAGTGGATATTTTGGCTTCGAATCTGTCTGGCATATGTTTGGTCTCGCGATCGGTTATTATGGTCGTTTCTGGTTCCTTGACTCAGAGTGGTTCCGTCCTATATCTGCAGCGTTTTCTGGTCCGGGCCTCTACGAACGCAATTCTCAGATCCTGGATACAAACCACTCTGTTGTGGTACGCTAACTCGGGCAAAAAATACAGCACGCTTCTCCTGGTACCGTTCTGCGTAAAAGACCTCCGTTGGCAACTCGAGGATCAGCGATCGCTTCCTGTTCTGCCAACACTTTCATCCTACAATCTCACGTTTGCCGACAAGTCCTATGAATGAAACCGCTACGTATCAAAAGTGTAAACCCTTTCTAGCGAGGGGCCCCTGTAGTGCTGTTGGGACTGATTGAGGGATCTTACCAACCACAAGGCTGAATAAGGTGATAGCATGACAACTTCTCCCTATTAGTGGGTTCATCACCGAAGCAGATTATCTGTGTCGATGATTAGAGGCATACTCGACGTGGACTGTGATGGTCTGTCCAGCCAGATGACTTTGAAATTACGCACCACGGTTAGTAACTTACTTTGTTTACCCATCCGTCGTATCCAGGTAATATGTCTACCTTGATGGCGGTACAGAACAAACGACCTTAATAATGAAATAAATGTGTAAGAGTAGGTTGAGTGAGAACACTGTTGAACGGTCCGGTACATGGCGTGCAATCAACTGGGTCGGATTGTTTGCCTTAGACCTCAAAGGGGACTGGTGGAGTTTTCGACACTCAAAGACTCGGCTGCTGGATCTTTTGTCAGGGGCCAGTGACCTTTCACTGGCTCTACAGGTGGAAGGAACTTGAATTGACTGACTCCGTCACCGCTTATGAAGACTAAGTCAAATACGGATGAAGAGTTATGTGAGTCATGCCTGATGATATCTTTCATGTGCTGGAATAGAGCTAGGGCAATTATGGTTTTTGACAATTCTTAAAGGTTTTGTCATTTGTATTTATATATGGGAACGTCAGAATATTGCACTACATACCGTATTCTGAGCGCAATCTCATCCAGGACATCTCTAAAGGATCTCGAGAGTTTTCCCGCGGAAGAAATATCATCGTGCAAGGCGTACTGGAAAACACGGACCCTGGTCAAGCAAACTCTGACATTCGGGAATGGAAATTCATCGAACAGTCCTTGGGGTTCAAAAACACACTGACTCAGTATGTGATGAGACTAGCCAATAAGGACGGTGATTCTAGACCCCGGCCAATGTGAATAACTTTCCCATCCTCCCATATGGCGGCTGCAGCTCTAGAAGCATTTCGTGCCAACAGACGTCGGCAAACCTTATATAGGTAGGATACCTGTCTACTCACGTAAGACTCATACAGACAAACAGGAAGAAGCTCACGCGTTTCAAATTGAAAGCATTAACTGCTTATACATGAACACCGCGAGTCTACCAAACAAAATGGATGAGCTACGTGAAATTAGCAATGCTAATAAGGTTCATCTGATAGGAATATCTGAAACTCGGATGTCTTCTCAGTTTTCGGACCAGGAGCTAGCAATGCACGGGATGTCTCCGTTTCGCAACGACATAAAAACAGGAATTGGGGACGGAGTAACCGTATACATACGATCTGGCTTGGAGGTACTGTAGAATTACGGTCTATTATGCTATTAGTACTGCTCTAATAACAGACATAATCCTAAAATTGTAGATTTGTCATGATGTAACTGCCTAATCTATAAGATCTTACGTGGAAGTTACATCATCGTCTACACCAACTCATTGTATTGTAACGATTACCAATACGTGATAGAGAACAAGCTTAGGCTAGAGATAGGATATATCTAATATGAATAAAAGATACAAGATAACATTCAGCAGGGACCATGCCTGCAAGGCCGAGCCATGCCATCCGACCAACTCCTTTATTCAATTCATTATTCCCGCCTTTTTCCATTATTCTGTATTTCTCCGCGTTAAATGTAGCATCTTTATTTCTCATATTGTCTTGTGGTAGGACGCAATGCCACTTAATATCACTAAGTTCACAACCATGAGTTTAACAATCTTGAGGAATCCATATGGTGCTCTGTGCGATTGCCTGCTACTTCGAGGTGCCTAGTCGGAGTCATATATAGGAAGCCCACTGCCGACATCGAGTATGACAGTCATATGCTGGAAGGACTATCCCGCTCCACGCGTCTCCGTTTTACTCATATCCTGATTCTAGGGGACTTCAATCTCCCTAGAATCAACTTCACAGAACATAAGTATACTGGAGGTGAAAACTCAATTGAAGCTCGTTGGAGGAACAGACACTTCTCCTGGCCCAGATATGGTCCATTCTGCTATACTGAGAGAAGCAGCTTCAATCCTGGCAACACCGCTTAGCGTGATGTTCTCACACTCGCTAAGTCGAGGCAAACCACCGGAAAATTGAAAGCTGGCTCATATCACACCAATCTTCAAAGGAGGTCGACGCCACGAAACTTCAAGTTACCGACCGGTGGATCTTCTCTCTATACCTTAAAAAATCATGGAGTCCCTGATATTCGATGGTATACACGACTATCTGCTGTCCTTAAATTTCTTCTCACTCCAACAGCATGGTTTCGGGAAGGGTTACTCCTGTATGACGAACCTGCTGACCAGGTGGACAGATGGACAAGCATCCTTGATCGCAAGGGTAAGGTGGATATCACTTACCTTGATTTCTCTAAAGCTTTTGATAGGGTTAATCACATATCTCTTATCAATAAGCTCAGACAATTGGGTATCAAACCACCTTTAATTGACTGGCTCAGTTCATATCTGACAAATCGACATTTTAAGGTCAGGGTAAACTTCAATTTATCACAGGCTATGGAATGTCCTAGTAGGGTACCCCAGGGCTCAGTACTAGAACCTCTTCTCTTCCTGATTTATATAAATGATCTTCATCAACAGGCAACGTCAGACTTATTGCTTTTTGCCGATGATGTGAAACTTTGGACAGAGATATGCAACCAAGAGGATATACAGGCAATTCAGGAGGATCTGACTCGACTACAAAGTTGGGCAGACGAGAACGGACTTACCGTTAACACTTCAGAGTGTAAAGTAGTCCATCTGCGACACGTCGCAGACTACAGTCACAACTTAGGAAACTCCTCTCTAGTAATATCCCGAGTCGAAAAACATTTAGGAGTCCTGGTGCCCTACGACTTAAAGTCTTACGCCAACTGTGACAGAAATGCCATTCGGGCGAACCTTGTACTGGTAATATTGAAGCGCATTTTCGGTCTGTTTGACGAGAGAACCTTCCACATAATCTTCAACAATTTCATTCGTTCCCATTAAGAGTACGGAAACATAGTGTTTCCTCCTACCCTCCAAAAGGATAAGGACACTCTGGAGCGTATCCAACGGCGAGCCACGAAACCAGTTCGGGGACTCAAATTTAAACCTTACAAAGAGCGCCTTCAATCACTCGACCTTTACCCATTAGAGTATAGGCGTCTTAGAGGCGACCTTCTAATGGCTTACAGTATCCCTGAAACTTCTGGACATCCTCTTAAACACCTACTTAAGCTTAGTTCCAACACTAAACTAAGGGGTAACACCCAGAAATTGGAGATACAACATGGTAGAACGGACTGCAGACACAACTTCTACTCCTTAAGAGTTGTCAAACGCTGGACTTCGCTGCTAGCTGAGCTAGTCCAAGCAACTTCCCAGGAGTCCTTTAAGAGGCGACTTGATCTATTCTTAAGGACTAAGGATAGTATCTTACTATGACTTACCGATTTCTCTTTTCTCTTTTATCGTTGATATACCTAGGTTCTTTCCTGGAGGTATTGGTGATCCCCTGCTACTGGACACGGAGGCCTGTTAAGCGAAAGCTTCTTCTATTCCGTCCACAACCATTTGAACTCCAACATAAACCTAAGGGGTAATGCTCAGAAACTGTAGACACAACTCATCAGAACGGACTGTAGACACAACTCCTGCTGCTTAAGAGTAGTTAAATGCTGGAATTCGCTGCCGGCTGAGCTAGTCCAAGTGACTTCCCAGGAGTCCTTTAAGAGGCGACTTGATCTATTCCTAAGGACTAAGGATAGTATCTTACTATGACTTACCGATTTCTCTTTTCTCTTTTATCGTTGATATACCTAGGTTCTTTCCTGGAGGTATTGGTGATCCCCTGCTACTAGACACGGAAGCCTGTTAAGCGAAAGCTTATTCTATTCCGTCCACAACCATTTGGACCGTTGGAAGGTATGGCGAAGTCTGGTGACAATTCAGACATTGCGCTACTGTCCTACTGCAATGAATGACTCCCGTGTGCAGGTTGGGGTAAAGAAACTCCCTATGCACCTACAAGTAACGTTAAAATCACATATTAAATCATTGAAAAGAGTTCTCAAAATCGTTTACTCATTAAAGGAGGGAAGGTAGTCAATGATGATCGTATGTTTACTGCTGATATATACATTGAAGATGGGGTTATTAGGTATGTTATCATGTACCTTAATTTTGTGTAGACAAGTAGGTAATCAGCTTTCGATTCCAGGGGGAGTCAGAATCATTGAGGCATCAGGAAAGATGGTCATCCCAGGTCTTTCAAATTTTTAAGTGTCGACTATTGTACCGTTTTCAGGTGGTGTCGACCCTCATACATGCTTTGATTCCTCTTGTTTTGGTTTGAATACGTCGGATGATTTTTATTCTGGCACGAGAGCAGCACTTGCTGGTGGAACTACTACAATAAGTCTGTTTGTTTGAAATTATTTATGTTTCAGTCAATTGTATTGTACCTACAAAAATTTCACTTCTGGATATGTATGAAAAGTCCCGTCAGACAGCAGATTCCAAAGCATGTTGTGACTATGCGATGCACTTTATCTTGTCCCAGTTCGACTCCAAAATATCCAAGGAAATGGAGCTACTAGTCAAAGAAAAGGGAGTGAATTCTTTTAGGGTTTTATTGTCAAATACAGACATGTTAGTAGACGACGGTGATTTCTTCGAAATCGCTAAGTTGTGTAGAGATCTTGGTGCCGTCCTTCAAGTTCATGCAGAGAATGGAAAATTGGTCAAGATACTAGAGTCGAAAATATACAATGATGGTATTACTGGCCCAGAGGGTTACTTGTATTCACACCCAGAAATGGTTAGCTACGGTCCTGAAATAATTTTATTATCTTTGTTTAAAACATTTTCGAATAAGAACTCTTACGGAATATTATTACTCCCTTCTGGGCTTCTCTTTCTATAACCTCTAACATTCTAGCAGCGGTATTCTTTTGCCTTCAAATGTCTTGGTACAACTGGTGGCGGAAAAGTCCAATCTCCCTTTCGAAGTGCCTGACATGAGCACGCGTATACAGCCTCTGCCATGAAAGCCCTATTCACTGCCTCCTCGTGTGGAGTATTGTTTACGAAATCGAGGGGACGAAAAGGGAGTGTCCGGCGGACTAACCGGGTTAGTGGATATGGATGATTCATCTAGGGAAGTTGGAAAACCTTGATTCCAAAACATTGGCGCTCATAGGCTTCAGGATCGTGGAGAGAAAGTAGTATGTGAACCCACTGTCTCTCACCAGCTACCATGGGACTACATCTTCTTACGTCGACCCACTACCTCGTGGATTAGACCTTTAGGTCCAAGGCCATGGGTGTGGTCTCCTAAGAAAACCACCTGCTTCGGTCTAGGCACCCGGGAAGTATTCCAGCACACGCAAACCGGATGTCGAAGTGTGGCGTATATATATTTGGAGTCTCATTGCATCAGTATTTATGTGTTTAAGTAAATCAATAAGTGATAAATAACTTTAAATATACGTTTTGTAACATGGTTATTTATCGAATTCTCTATGGTTAATTTACTTAAACACTTCAAAGACAGATTCCTCCTGTCAGTCATACCAGAACATTTTGGAGTGTTTAATTATTTAGCTTTAAGGAGTCGGTAACGTAAGTATTATGTCACAATTTATGAACCTTGAGTGTCGATTTTAGTGTTTATTGAATTATGTGTAGTAGTCCTACAAATATTATTGTTGGAAATTTGGAGGAAGAGATTAATTTTGAAGTTTTGTAAAAGTAGTCGGTAACCACCATAAAAGATTGATTTAAATTTGTTAATATGATTTATTGAATTGCAAAAGTGTTTTTGTTTATTTGTTAGAGGGATATGTGTGTAAGCTTTACTAGTACTTGATGACGTGTAATAAGTGATTGCCATCAGTCTTAGAAGTCAGGTCTGCTTGATCCTAAGTATGTATTTGAATCAAAGTACTTTTGGGAGCTAGGCTCTTGGTGGTTCTTTCACTTTTTCATGCAAAAATACTTCTATTGAAAGCGTAAAACTACTTATAAATAAAGTTTCTCAAATACTGCTGTTCGTATTCTGCTAGTAAATGTATGACTTAGTGATTTGTTATATGGTTTAAAACCTTTATGACTGATGAATAGTATTCTTTTATCCCTTTAGTCATTGTTTCATTTATTATTATTATTCTATATTTTATTTGAACACAGATATTTGTACAAGGACGCACCAAATATATATGCGCCACACAAATCTCATTTGATTTGTATGAGGGCTGTGATACTGCCCGGGTGCCCGAACCGAAGCAAGTGGTTTTCTTAGGGGGCCACACCCGGAGCCTTCGACCTGAAGATCTGATCCACAAGGCAGTGGGGCATCGTAAGGAGATGCAGTTCCGTGGTAGCCAGTGACCAACGATTGGTTCATACGCCATTTGTTCCCTCAGGATACTGGAGCCCCTGTGCACCATTGGTTTGGAATTAGGGTTTTCAAACTCCCGTAGGTGGACTCTCCATGTCCACCAACCCGGTTAAAGCGCCGGACATTCGCTTTTCGTCCCCTCAATTTTGTGAACAACACCCCCGCCACGAGAAGGCAGAGGCTATATACGCGTGGCCATATAAGAGCATTTCGGGAGGGAGAGCGGACTCTCGGCCGTACCAGGGCATTTGGGGGCAACAGTTATATAATATACCCTTGTGGGTCGGGGTAATTTTTACATTGGTTTTCAGGAGAACCAGACACCGTCCAGACTTTCACTTGACAACCCAAACAGTGCAGCTCAAGCCCGTTTAATAGGAGAGCCAGACACTGTACAGGCTTTAACGCTACAATCTGAATAGTACAGCTCAATCATGTGGCGCAACCACACAGGTACCAAGCACCCTGGTGGAACAACGATGTACTTAGATTATGTTTTAACTATATGTTACAGTTCGTTCTGATTCTCAACTCATCACTTTTATATTATAATGACCAAGCCCAAAAATTGACCATGAGTTGTCAGACTTCTGTATACGTTTGACTGATTATGTATCTTCTACATAAGCGTTAAATATTTAGACTGATTTTATCTTTCTTGGAAAAGAGATCTTGTGGTTAAGAGTTGTTATGTATCCGAGACAAGATTGTCAATCAAGCAAATCCTGCTTGAGTAACTGGTTTTTCTGTTCGTGATATTTACAAACATAAACATTTCTTCACTAATATTACAGAACACCAACGTTCACCACACCTTGCTTTGCAGTATTGACAAAAGATTCGTGTGATTATTGATCGTTCACCCAAGGACAACTTTCTCTTGATCTATGGGAAATCAGAAGACATAAATCAGCAATAAGTATTTGGTTTATTTCCTGATTTCGAAGCATATGGGACCATGGAACTGGTGTTAATGTTAAAAGATACTTTAAAGCGTTTGAATTATTATCATACCACAGTTTTATTTGCTGTTTGTTTCACACTTAAATCATCAACTTTATCAAATGAAATGTTTCTGTTTATTTTTACAGGCGGAGATTGAAGCTACACATCGAGCGCTTTCTTTAGCTGATGCTGCTGGTTGTCCTCTATATATTCTACAAGTCACTAGCCCGAAAGCAGCAGATCAAATATCAGAAGCTCGTTGGAATGGTAATGTTGTTGTAGGGGAAACATTAGCCGCTGCACTGGGTGCTGATGGTACTCATTATAAGAATAGTTGCTGGCGTCATGCTGCGGGATATGTTCTGTCTCCTCCACTAAGAGTTAGTCCGAATACTCCAGACAAGCTGATGCGTTACGTCTCCACTGGGGTTCTAGAATGTACTGCTAGTGGTCACTGTGCTTTTAAAACTGAACAGAAAGCTTTGGGAAAGGACGATTTCCGAAAAATCCCTTCTGGAGTCAATGGAGTAGAAGATCGAATGTCAGTTGTTTGGGAGAAAGGAGTGGTAATTTGCTACTTTAATTTTATGGAAACCTCTATTAAACTTATCTCCATTTGTTAGATGTCTGGTTTTATAGACCCATGCAAGTTTGTTGCTGTGACTAGTACAAATGCCGCTAAAGTCTTTAATCTCTATCCACACAAGGGAAGGATCGATGTTGGAAGTGATGCTGATTTGGTTATTTGGGATGGTGATGCAACTCGCACGATATCAGCAAAAAATAACCACGAAAATGTTGACTTCAACATATTTGAAGGTCTCCAGTGCCGTGGCGTACCTGTAGTCGTGGTCGCTGCTGGTCGGGTTGTTCTGGAGGACGGAGAACTTAGAGTAACTCAGGGTGCAGGTCGTTTTGTACCAGCTTTACCGTTTTCACCGTACATTTTTGAGCGAACAAAAAGACTGGCGCTGGTTAGTTGTAAATAATTGTAATATATATTTAATTGTTATTAATGTTAGATGTCATCATTAGTATCTTTGGTGAATCCTATCTCATGACTACTCACTGAAAAAGCCAGTAATTTTTAACTTGTCTTGATATAAAATCATTCGACTGTCATTGGTAAGATCCTTTCAACAAATGTTCTACATCAATAATTCTTATGCTTAAGTAGTTATTTGGTGTGTGTAGTGTTTTGTTAACCAACAATTCTGAGCATTTCCTCATTATTGTAAGGGTAATTTACTCACTACTATTTTGATAAAGCTAAATTTTATACTCAAATGTGAAGCTGTGTATTCGTTTCTGATCATTATGAGAAGCTGATTTGAAACAACATTTCTTCACTTAAGTTGTATCTCGAATGTCTGAATGAAAATATTCAAGTTATTACATTATAACGATATTTTATTAAGAAGTATTAATTCCATTGATAAGAAAACCGTACATCTTAGGTAATTTTTTAGAATACAGCATACAGATGTCATATCAAAATGTTTCATGGATTCCTGATACATTATATCTTAGTTTCATCTTTAGTAGATTTACTGTTTTTTGTTGGAATAACTTCCATTCAAAGATTATCTTAACAAATGACAGATCTGAAAACCGAATATTCAAACATTTACTTCGTTATTAGGTCATCATCTTCATAATTAAGAACTTTCGTCTAAATTTGATCGGATAGTTTCACAGTATTTGTGCGCCGAGTTAATGTGAGACATTAAAGAGGTAGAATGTATTTGTAAAATCTCAGCGAAGGAATTTAAAGTAAATCCAGCGTTTCGCCTGGCAATCTGGTCCAAGCTTTTTCAATAACATATTGCTGTCTCTTATAAGTTATCCACGGATTATCACAGATTTTCGTCTCCGGCAGTAAAGCTGTTTGAAGAACGGAGCTAACTTCCCACAAAAAGACCGTGCATGACCGGCTTCAAGCCGTTTTCCCTTAGGCTCTGCTGTCATGCTCCCAGGTCGTTAAGACCAACACTAACCCAACTTCCCTTTCAGGTTCCTCAAGAAATACCCTTCCACGGTGTGGGCAGCCGGGAAGTGATATCAGCCTTTATACCCGTAACAGCACACGAGACCAAGTTGGTCACATTCAAATTCTTCCTACACCTAATAACTCTCTTATCTCCACAACTAACCCTTCTCACGTCCCTTTATTACCTCTCACCGCTAATGCAAACGATTTTAGTACTTACTTACTTACGCCTGTTACTCCTCGTAAAGGAGCATAGGCCGCTCACCAGCATTCTCCATCCAACCCTGTCCTGGGCAATCCCTTCAAGCTCTTTCCAGTTCTTATTCATCTTTTTCATATCTGCTTCTATTTCCCGACGTAATGTGTTCTTTGGCCTTCCTCTTTTCCCCTTCCCTTCAGGATTCCAAGTTAGCGCTTGTCTCGTAATGCAGTTTGATGATTTCCTCAATGTATGTCCTATCCATTTCCATCGTCTTTTCCTAATTTCCTCTTCAGCTGGAAGCTGGTTGGTTCTCTCCCACAAAAGGCTGTTGCTGATGGTATCCGGCCAATGGATGTTGAGTATCATGCGTAGACAGCTATTAATAAATACCTGTACCTTCTTGATGGTGGTTGTTGTAGTTCTCCAAGTTTCAGCTCCGTACAGTAGAACTGCCTTGACGTTCGTATTGAAGATTCTGACTTTGATATTGGTTGAAAGTTGTTTTGAGTTCCATATGTTCTTCAGTTGAAGGAATTCCGCTCTAGCTTTGCCAATCCTCGCCTTGACGTCCGCATCTGAACCTCCTTGTTTATCGACGATGCTTCCTAGGTATGTGAAGGATTCCACGTCTTCCAGAGTTTCGCCATCACGACTGATTGGATTGCTGTTCTCCGTGTTGTGTTTGAGGACCTTGGTTTTCCCTTTGTGTATGTTGAGGCCTACTGATGCAGAGACTGCTGCTATGCTGGCTGTCTTTATCTGCATTTGTTCGTGTGTATGTGATAGGAGGGCTAGGTCATCTGCGAAGTCCAAGTCGTCTAATTGGTTCTGAGCTGTCCATCGTATGCCGTAGTTTCCCTCAAATGTCGAGGTCTTCATAGTCCAGTCGACCACCAGAAGAAACAGGAAGGGAGAGAGTAGACAGCCTTGTCTTACTCCGGTCCTTACTTGGAATGCGTCTGTCAGCTGTCCTCCATGCACTACTTTGCACTGTAGTCCATCGTATGAGTTCCGGATAATGTTAACAATCTTCTCAGGAACTCCGTAGTGTCGAAGAAGTTTCCATAACGTCCTCCTATCTACACTGTCAAATGCCTTCTCATAATCAATGAAGTTGATGTAGAGTGACGAGTTCCACTCAATTGATTGTTCGACGATGATCCGTAGTGTCGCAATCTGGTCTGTGCACGACCGGTCCTTACGGAATCCAGCCTGTTGATCTCGAAGTTGAGCGTCTACTGTTTCTTTCATCCTGTTCAGTAACACTCTGTTGAAGACTTTACCTGGTATTGACAGTAGTGTAATGCCTCTGTAGTTTTCACACTTGCTCAGATCTCCTTTCTTTGGAATCTTGATGAGGTGTCCTTCTTTCCAATCCATCGGCACTTGTTCCTCCTCCCAAATCTTCTTGAATAGAAGATGAAGCATGCTTGTAGTTACTTCGATGTCTGACTTCAGTGCTTCAGCTGGTATATTGTCAGGTCCTGCTGCTTTCCCGTTCTTGATTGGTCTGACGGCCATTCTGATTTCTTCTGTCGTTGGTAGATTGACATTTATAGGAAGATCTTTGTGTGCTGCTTCGATGTCCGGTGGATTCATTGGAGCCGGCCTGTTCAGGAGTTCCTCGAAGTACTCTGCCCATCTGTTGCGCTGTTGTTGAATCTCAGTGATTGGTCTTCCTTCTTTGTCTTTGACTGGTCTCTCTGGTTTACTGTATTTCCCTGCAAGCTTCTTCGTCGTATCGTAAAGCTGTCTCATATTTCCTTCTCTTGCAGCTTTTTCCGCCGTCGTTGCTAGTTCTTCCACGTATTTTTGCTTATCAGCTCTAATGCTCTTCTTCACTTTCTTGTTTGCTTCTATGTACTCAGCTTGTGCTTGGACTTTCTCTGCTCTTGTTCGACTGTTGTTAATTGCTGTCTTCTTGTTCTTTCTTTCTTTGATCCTGTCCAGTGTTTCTGTAGAGATCCATTCCTTGTGATGATGCTTCTTGGGGCCCAGAACCTCTTGACACGTTGAAGTTAATGTTTCTTTGATACCTTTCCAGCTATCCTCCATAGTAGTTTCTTCTTCCTTCAGTAGATCCTGTAAGGCTTGGAACCTGTTGTTGAGAGCTACCTTGAATTCATTGAGTTTGTCAGTATCTCGAAGGAAGGCTGTATTGAACCTTTGTGGTGCTGTTTGTCCAGTTGTCCAGTTCTTCTTTAGCTTCAGTTTCAATTTGGCCACAACCAGGTGATGATCTGAAGCTATGTCCGCTCCTCTCCTGGTTTTCACATCTTCCATTGTCCTTCGGAACTTTTTATTGATGCAAATGTGATCTATCTGGTTCTCTGTGGTGTGGTCCGGTGAGATCCACGTAGCTTTGTGTATACGTTTGTGTGGAAATGTTGTAGCGCCTATGACCAATTTATTGAATGCACACAGATTTGCAAATCTTTCCCCGTTTTCGTTTCTCTCTCCCAGTCCATGTAGTCCCATGATGTCTTCATATCCGTTGTTGTCCATTCCGACTTTGGCGTTTAGATCTCCCATCAGAATGGTGAGGTCCTTTCTTGGGCACTTTTCTATGATTGATTGCAGCCTCTCATAGAATTGATCTTTAACGTCGTCGTTGCTATCATTGGTGGGTGCATAACATTGGATAATGTTCATTAAACGATTTTAGTACGCGGAACATTATTCTCAGTTTCCTGAAGAACGGTAAGACTAAAAGCAGCAACTCAAGGTCTGAGGGCGAAGTCGTACTGCTGACTGTACAGAGGTGTGACAGCAGTAAGGTGTTTCCCTCGGACAACCAGCATCTGCAGCGATGCTGCCTTCTCACAAGGAAGGATGTGGTTAGAAAAGCTTGACCCTAAAAATGTCACACCTCACCTTACCCCACGGATTTCCGTCTCCGGCGGTAAGGCCCTTTGAAGAACGGAGCTAACACATTAAAAACCTCCCACAAAAAGGCCGTGCGCGACCGGCCTCAAGCAGTTGTCCCTTGGGCTCTGCGGTCACGCACTCAGGCCGCTAAGGCCAACACTAATCCGATTTCCTTTTCAGGTCCCTCAAGAAATACCCTTCCACGGTGTGGGCAACCAGGACGTGATATCTCGCTCCATCGATGTGTACTGCGTTTCCGAAACGCGCACACAGGATCCTAGTAGTGTCATTCATTTGACCGCACCATGTCAAAGTAACGAACCAACTCGATTTACGCTTCGTGTGTCTGGAAGCCGTGATGCTGCTTCCCGTGGCCTCGCTGGCTCAGGTATAGCATCGAGTCCTAGGGCAGAACTAGCTCTCTTGGACTGGATCCCAGTAGACAGTCGTTTGTGTGCTGTCCGACTAAACGGAACAGTAAGGACTCGAAAAGATACGGACACTCGTCGTTGCCTCTTCGTCGTCTCTGTCTTCTCTCCCACTGACTGCAGCTCAGATAATGTAAAAGATGAGTTTTACAGAAAGCTTTCCGACCTTCTCCGAAAAGCTAGGCGTTCAGATGTAGTAATAGTGGCTGGTGACTTTAATGCTCAAGTAGGTAAACTAAGCGAAAAGGAAAGACACCTGGGTGGATCTTATAAAGTCGCGGCTCAAAGAACAGATAACGGCGACCCTCTGTTGCAGCTATGCTCAAATAACCGCCTGTTTCTTGCAAACACTAACTTTAGGCATAAGGAAAAACATCTTTTAACATGGCGACCCCCTAATTCGTCTCAACGCTGGACCCATATAGATCACATCGCTATCAGCCACCGATGGAGGGGCTCGATAGAAGACTGTCGCTCATTCTGGAGCACATGCTTAGACTCAGATCATGCTCTAGTGCGAGCGCGTATTTGCCTACGTCTTACTGGACGTAGAAAAGATCGTGCAAGGAAACCTCTTAGGGTCCTACTTAATGATAATCAAGCTAAGAGTATATTTCAGGAACAACTAGAAAAACAGTTAGGCAGCCATGTAAGGGATGCCCACCCTGAGGTAGCGTGGAATGACATCCGAAAAGCTGTAGAAACGGCAGTGATGTCTGCAAGTACGGTAAACCATAAGGTTAGGGAGAAACACTGGATCTCAGCAGCATCTACCGCACTGATAGATGCTCGAAAACTCATTCCATCTGGCTCTGAACATAACGAAGAGAGGAGTCAGCTTAAGCGTAAGCTGACTAGAAGCCTACGTAAAGATCGTGAACAGTGGTGGGTAGCGAAAGCAGGAGAGATGGAAAAGGCAGCGGCAATAGGTAACAGCAGGCAACTGTTCAGACTTGTTAAGGAAACCGGTATTAGGAACCCAACTGCTAGCGAGACAATCGCAGAGAAAGATGGACATATTATTCATTCTCAATCCAGAAGATTGGACCGATGGGCAGAATACTTTAGGGATCAGTCCAACTGGCCTTCAGCCACACTTCGGTTTCCCACGATCTCCAGTCGACCTGAATGGCAAGTTGATGTAAGTCCTCCGACTCTTTACGAAGTTGAAAAAGCTATAGGAAATCTGAAGCGTGGGAGAGCAGCAGGCCCTGACAGGTCTACTCCTGAGATTTTTAAGGATGGTGGTCCAGTATTAGCAACGAGATTGACTGAGGTCTTAGGTAGAATCTGGGAACTGAACGTAATCCCATCTGACTGGTCTCAATCACTGATTGTGCCAGTCTGTAAGACGGGATAAAAGTCCTCCTGTGACAATCACAGAGCAATTAGTTTGACTAATATAGTGTCTAAAATATTAGCTTCAGGAATACTTCGACGTCTAACCAAAGCTCGTGAAGAGCAGACTAGAGAAAACCAGGCTGGTTTTCGACCTGGACGTGGTTGTATTGATCAAATATTCATATTACGTCAGGTCCTAGAACATAGACACACATTCAGACGCCCCACAATGGTAGTATTTCTCGACCTTAAGGCGGCATTTGACTCTGTTGATCGTAAGGTTCTATGGCAATGTTTGTCACTGAAGGGAGTACCAAAGAAGTACGCCAACCTTATAAAGGCTCTCTACTCGAACACAACTGGTCGAGTAAGAAGTTATGGCGGACTGTCATCAGAATTGATTACCTCAAGTGGTGTTCGTCAGGGCTGTCCACTCTCTCCATTCTTGTTTAACTTTGTCGTTGACGTCCTTTTAGAGATGACACTTTCCTCATCTAAATTTCCAGGAGTTGAACCTTTACCGGGAGATCCACTTGTTGACTTAGAATATGCCGATGACATAGTTCTATTTAGTGAAGACGCTGATAGAATGCAGAGTCTGCTGACCACTCTAAGCAACAATGCAAGCCTGTTCGGCATGCGATTCTCTCCCTCGAAATGCAAAATTTTACTTCAGGAATGGGTTGCATCGACACCGGAACTAGTGATAGGGAGTGAAGTAGTTGAGCGTGTCGACCGCTTCACTTATCTCGGAAGTCTCATCAGCCCTTGTGGTTTGGTGTGTGACGAAATCTCAGCACGGATACAAAAGGCTCGACTAGCTTTTGCCAACTTGCGTCATTTATGGAGTAGGCGAGATATCCGTCTACTAACAGAAGATCGGGTTTACTGCGCAGCAGTTCGTTCCGTCCTACTTTATGGCAGTGAAACATGGCCAGTAAGAGTAGAGGATATTCGTAGGTTACTAGTATTTGACCATAGGTGTCTTCGAAGCATTGCTCGTATATCCTGAGACCACCGAGTGTGTAATGCAGTTGCTAGGGAACGGGTACTAGGTAAGGATGGCAAATCAATTGATGAAGTAGTGAAACTCAATCATTTGAGATGGCTGGGACATGTGTTACGTATGCCCGACCACCGACTGCCCTGACGTGCGATGTTTTATGGTGTAAGAGTAGGTTGGAAGAAAGCTAGGGGCGGTCAGATTAAAACATGGCAGAGGTTCATGAAGTCACTGACAAGTGAACTGAGTCATGTTGGTTGGTGTAGACTACCTGGTTGGAATCCACAAGGCGACACCAACCGATGGTTAGATACCTTGAATGACATGGCTCAAAATTGTTTGCAATGGCGCAAGTGCATCCACTCTTTGTGTTCTCCCAAATTCTTATCTCCTGAATTCTTCATATCCTTTCTTTCCAAATTTATTTTACTGGATTATACTCCTTGAATAACATTTCCAAACCCTGTTTCTGATTACTGCTTATACTTTTACTACCTCTACCACTGTGGGATTTGAATCGACAGTTGTATCTGTGTGTTAATGTGGTATGGAAAGTCGAACTGACGTACGTACGAAGTTCTACGTTGTTGACTGACTATCCACTAATTATTTTTTACTAATATTCTCTCTAGATGCGTTCACTTAAACCTATAACTCGTGATTCATATACTGGTCCTGTGTCCACAGAATTCACTATTCCAATGAAAGATGCCATCGTCAATAATGGTACAGAAAAAGTGTCACTTGGGTCCGATGCTGACGGGTTGCGCCCTCGCTCACCTACACGTTCGGGTGGTCGGAATATGCAGGAATCCAGTTTCTCTCTGAGTGGTAGGTTTATTTCAAAAACATTCTATTCTTAGAATTATCCTTAAACGTTATTCGTTTCAGTTTATGCCAGGCAAGGACGTGTTACATTTATGTTAAGCTATTCATGAAATAACCAAATGCAACTAAAGAGATTAGGCTGAGGGGAATAAAGTTAAAATTTATAGTAATCACTACGAACGATAAACTACTTAAAAAAGTAATATTTTAAGACTCATAGCAAGTTCATGTCTTATTTGGGTATCTCCTTGGCCCAAAAGATTATTGTCTAGAACATGGAGTCAGAGATTAGGAAATTCGCAGAATGAACAACTGCAATTTGCTGTTATCTTGATGTTGTTCATTCGGGGTGTGGAATTTCATAAGCAATAAACCGAATATGGTCCTTAAATCACTGGGCTATTTGTTGATCCCATGAATAAACTGACCAAGTTCTATGCTTATATCCGGACCTAAAAGCTACAATGTAGTCCCATATTAGTATGACTCACACGTTAAGTGAATTAATGCTTGATGAGCATACAAATCAATAAAATAATAGTAAGGAACAGTCAAGTAATTATCTAAAAGCTTGAATACATAGCGCTTTAGCGTGTAATATCGTTGTCACGCATATTATTGCTTAGCTCAGCCTGAAAAATTTAGCATGAATTCAAATCCTTGATTTGATGGTCGAAATGCCAAGTACAAACCATCAAGTCACAAATAATGTTAACTTATCAATTAATGGAGTTGTAAAGCGTCAACTTATGTTAATACACTATCAAATGTGTGATCAATCTATCTGCAAACTTTGAAAAATTATTTGATTCAACTCCACCAATCATAATTTACGATTGTAACTGCGAGGTCTAGTTTGTGACTGATAGTTTCTCGACACCATTGTGCTTAGTAGCACCTTCAAAGAATTAGTGTTATAGGTTGTAATAGTGAAGTGCATGGTGTGATGCTGTTGGTTGAGTTAACCAATTAAGAGCTCGAGATAGCCATGTGTACCGCGTTAGAAACAAGATTCAACTTAGGTTTATAAAATTTCAAATTTCAGTTGAATTAGTGAAATAGCCAAATAAAACAATTAGTCCTATATTTAGTGGAATACTATTGCATGCACATACACATATACGATGATTAAAAAGATTGCATTGTAATATCTCTAGTGTTATATATTTTCTAGTCTTTATGGATCAAGTATCGAGTATAAATTATATAGTAGTTTTACAATGAAAACGTTTTACCATTGGTGATAACTTTGTTACATGACGTAACAATTCTCTATTTTATTATGTAAAACTAAATATAAACATAGTTGTACAAAACCAATAGATAACATCTTCGAAAAGAGTTTTTTCGCTGAACCGTCTTCATTTTATTTAAATAAATATTGGTTACATAAATAATGCTATAATGTCAAGATGTTTGAACGAAGAAACTTTTCTTCGATGATTTCGTTCACTACGAAGAGTTATGTTGTGGTATGTGCTACTAATGTCGACAGACACAAGTAGTATGTATCATCCATCAAAAGTGATGTGCCTGGCGGCAGAAGGTTGAGAAGATCGAAGAGAAGATTACGAGAACAGACTGTTGAGACAAAGAAACAGTCAAGTTTAAAATAATTTATTGGTATTTTGCAAATGAAGAATTTACTGTATGGCTCTCAGATTTTACATTTGATTGTCCCCACTGGTGTACTCGTTTAGTACAATGTAGCCAACTGAAAAATGGAAACTACAAAAAAGATTTAAGACCTATCTACTTTTAGTATACTCACGTCAATGTATGACTAATAAAATAAATATAAAAGACTGTTGAATATAGAAAAAGTCTATTTATATCAACTTAAAAAGAAAAATCCCAGGCATTAAAATTACAGTTTTATGAACAGTTGACCAAGTACGGAAAATAAACGATGAGCGTATATGTAAATAAGTTATAGACTGAAAATGAAATACCTTATACTCTTATTTGCTTATATCTGTGATTGCGTATTTAAAGTTGGTGTGGCAACGTTCTGGCTATTTTAATCATTTTTGGACTGTTCATTTCTTGTGACATCTTTTTTTAGGCGCTCAGTACGACGATAGTCGTCCAATTCGCACGGGGATTCGGACAAAACAACCTCCTGGTGGGGCATCAAACGCCTTATGGTAGACATTCATCAAGAAGTTCTGTACATCAAAAGTTTGGAACTCAACATCAGCGACACTACACAATCAATATGTATTTACTGAAATTGTTTAAGATACACCTGGTTCTTTATTATATGTGCTCACAGCCCAAGTTATATGTAGCTTTGTTCAATCAAGCAATCCTTCGTGTCGTATTTGATGTATACTTTACCGAGTTGAAAAACTTGATCGTTATCTTAGTTATGGTTGTTTATCAATTCAAATATAATATGCTACTTCATAAAAATGTTAAATACCAAAGACTTTTTTCTGTTTCTCCGTGCATTGTTACGAATGTCATGGTATGACCTAACAAGAAGGTACATGCATCGGACTGCATTTACTGAAGCGTCTGTTTAAAACTTCAATAATGTGTCTATTTAGGTGAGTACTAGTCGTGAAACCTCACTCTTGCACGCAAACCAAACTACTTATTTTAAATTCCATATTAAGTTAAAACAGAATAGGTTTTAACAAAACTATTGTTTATTGTAGACCAAGCTCCAATGTAAGTGGCGAATTTAAAAGTCCCAATAATTTTGTGATTAATATTACAATGAAGCTTCCAAGCCTTGTTCTATATATTTTCGTTTTAACTAGAACTGCAGAAACTTTTCAGGTGTACAACAGATAATATTGTTAATGCACATGATAACATAGGCACTTAAAAAAAACAATATATTGGAAATTTCAACCATTCAAAATATTATTATTGTACATAAAATCGGTATTCACATTGATCAGCTAATTAACGGGTAATTGTTCGGTATTCATAATATGTATTTGGCGACTACTTTTAAATGCCGCCATACGACCTTAAAATGCAAATAGTTGTTTGCCAAAACAATTTCGCTGTTGATTGTTGATTAGTCTCTCAATTAGATGTAGTCGAAATTTGCAACGTTGAGTTGAGACCAACTGAATTTCTATTGGATTGTGGTGTATTCATTCGAAGGAATACTTCAACATTTGTTATACAATTATATTCAGATGTACTAATACCTTTACTTTTAATATCTTGATGTTCCACAAGCTAAAAACAAAGGAACGGAAAAAGCATATCAATAATTTACGAACCATTATTGACGGTCTAGAACCGTTGTCGGGGGTTAAAAAGAAAGCAAATTGCCAATGTTATCTGGATTAGAATGTATTAAACATTTGGTTCACTTCATCAGCCGAATTCAAAAAACTTCGTTAATAGTTCTACATCGCTACGGAATCTGGTCGTTCTAGTGGTTAAAATTTTCCGGTTTATTCATTAAATGTAAACCGCCCTGATTCTTTGTATTGACAAGGTGATGTGAACCGGGAAACAAGAAGCCCTGACAAACTACGAAGGCTATTTTTCGGGACGTTATTTCATTTTATTTAAAGTTTGTAAAACACTGACATTTATTTTTGTCCCAATTCTATTATACAGAACATAAGCTTTCGTTCGATGTATCATTCACTGCCATACCTTTTTCTGTTCCGAAGCTATTGTAATTTAAACATATTATTTTGCACCCTATTTTCTACTCTAATTCCCAGCTTTGGACATAATTGTATTTTTCCTAATTATTGTACGTTGAGGTCGGGTTATTCACTTATTTATTCATGTACCTTTTTACACTAATCTGAATTCAGTGGTCAGGGAAATAGATCGAGTAGTGTTCCAGTTGTCTTGTCTTCTCTCATTCGTGTGCTTGCCCACCAATCAGGTGACAGAATAGTTTTCTTCTCTCTACCCCATCTCGAACTCACGCGTACTAGTCTCAAGGTTGAGCCGATCAGCCTATCGCATCAAGGTCGAAATCTAGATTAGACAAGTACCCTCGGCACCAAAAAGTGGGTAGACAAATCAAGGTCATAACACAAGGTGAAGTCAAGTGACTGACCGTATTTGGATTTTGAATTCACGTTTCGGAGACGTTGGCGCGAGATTCTAAAGTGTTGACTAAGGAAGCGTGGCGTCGTATCTGACACAATGTTCGAACATTGAAAGCCAGTATATGGTTTGATGCGTGGTGATAGAGTTGAGCGAAGAGCGTTCGTTGTGAGGGTAGGAAGACTAATAAGAGAAAGGGAGGATTTCTGGTACCTTCAAAAGGTATCACTGCGATCGTGACTTTTCCCGGTTGCCCATACCGTAGAAAGTGTGAATAGTTTTGATGAAGTTGTGAACCTCTCCGATTAGGGCGAGTACGCGTCGCCACTTAAGGTATGATTGGGTTTAAATGGTAGAACTGTTACAGAAAGGGTCACAGACTGTTGATCTGGAGTCGTAAGCGTATATTCCGTCGATGAAAAGTATAAAAGTAGGGATGACTTGAGCATTCGACAATTGTAGATGTACAACCTTTGTTTTCTAAATTTCGAATCTATAACTTCTCAATTATTTAATTTCGCGAAGTTGTGTTTGTCAAGTTTACTTTTTCATTCTATTAGTTTTCTTTATTTCTTCTATATATGTTGTTATAAAGTATGTTAACTTAGATACCTTTGAATGTGGTTTTGCATTGAACATATGTCTATGTTCATGTGATTGGTTAGTTTCATTTTCTCATGAGTAAAACTTTCTAATAAATATAATATTAAGTGATTAGTGATGTGATTTATATGAGTGCAAACTGGTCATCGAAATGAATCTACTGCTTTTGTACATACTCATCAATAGTGAAAATAGCAAATACAGAACAGAAGATTTTGAGTCAAAATCATGAAAATTCTGTCGGGTTGATAGATCGTCAGGGAGAAGTGCTTTCCAATTTTCCGTTATAAAGAAGGCGAAGCATATAGAAACAACAATTTAACATTGTACACCCCTTTGAATATTAAAAAGTATCATTATGTACAGAAAATAGAATAGAACTTACAGATTCATATGACGGTCTTATTGGATAAATATCAGGTTGAATAATAAGATTTGAAGCTATGAGATTTAACGGTTCAGAGTGAACATCAGTACTTTGCTCTCCATCAGACTGATCTAACTCCATATGGTGTACATCCATTACAGCAGCTATCATGAAAAAAATGAGATAAACGTCAAACTATGTAAGGAAGTTTAAAAACACTGGATAACTGATATCAAATTTTCAATTATCTAGTTTATAAAGAACTAAGGCTTTAATAAAAAGCAGGGAATACTGCTTGTAAGCATAAAGTTAGTGAGTAATCTTTGAGAAAATTGAGGTATCTTATGAAAAAACATATACCTTAAGTAAATCCTGTTAACACGTCTGAAAATTCCCTTTTCGAATTTCGCCATCTTCAAGAAACTATCATTAAAAATAGGATGAGTCAGTCGGCTACAACGTAGGACCAGGCACATATATGCATCGGTCCAAGTTGCTACACCTTATTAGCAAAACAAGATGAACACCGGATTCACAGAAGTAGTTAATTCAATGGTGGTAATATATAAAAGAAGGTTTTCAAATAAGTATATAGTACAGGAAGAAAGAATTAGTTCGTAGAAAGAAAGATATGAAGCGATTTTAATTTCATAGTTTAAGGGAAGACAGAGAGTGTATACACCTACGCTACTGTGATCGATTCTGAGCCATGTCACCCACAGTCTCTAACCATTGGTTACGATAGTCACTCGAACCCCAGTTAGGTAGTCGACATCTACTAACGTGGCTCAAATTAGAAGTTAATAGTTTGACCGCAACTAACTTTCTTCCAAACATCCCCAACACTAGTCAGTATTGCGCGTCATGGTAATCGGAGTTCACATGATCCAACCATCTCAGTCGATGAAGATTCACAGCCTAATTAATTGATTTACCATAATTCCCTAATACTATGCGTTCAACCTCACTATTACTTACTTGGTGATCCCAGAAGATGCTGGCAATATTTCTAAGGTATATGTGGTCAAATACTAGTAGCTTACGAGTATCTGCTATTCTTAATGGCCATGTTTCGCAGCCGTAAAGTAGAACAGAACGAACTTCCTCGCAGAAGAAACTGGAATTAACATGTCAAGTATGAGACTATCTCGGAAAAAGACGACACTCTTATCTGTTCCCAGTCCAGACGTTTAGAACGATTGGTGAAACATTTTAAGGGGCAGTTCAGCTACTCTACACCTATCCACCATCCCCAGACAGCGTGAATGGAATATTGAAGTAGGTCCCTCAACTCTATCTGAACTTCAAAAGGTTATAGTTAATTTGAAACGAGGAAGAGCAGCTGGTTCAGATGGAATAGCTTCAGAGGTCTTTAGGTATGGTGGTTCAATTTTAGCGACTAGGTTGACTAATATTTTAGCCAAAATCTGAGAGTTGAAATACAAGACAACTGTATTCATACCTCTAACAGCAATCAAGGAATAAGATGAAGAAAATAGGAAGTTAATACTTTACAAGTGATTTATAAATAAAGTTAAAAACAGCGTGACGATCCAACAATTCCTTATAGTTAAATGGGCATAACAAGAAACAAGCTGGAAATAACTGTGATGACGCTTTTTATTAGGCTTAGAGTGCTATTTAATTAATCTTTTACAGGGATGAATTACTTTCCAGAAAATTATGACCATAAATGGTAGTGGGATTCAACGCTCAAGTAACCAATTAAAAAATATTACAGCTTAATTAACCTTCTGTATATATATATTACACAGTATAATTCTCTAAGCCAACGATATAAAATCGAACCCCATAACCACTTATATTAAGGATATCTAGTAAACTTTATCAAATAAAGGATTATTTACTGACAGTAATATATAAGCTTAGTAACTTAGTCATAGAAGTTTTGATTTTTGTCATAACTATATCGTTAATTTGTATAACATTACTTTACAAACTTAGCTAATATGAGTGAGCTTTCACTTACCAGCCATTGAATCGGTAAATGAAATATCACCAATCGATGGAGAACCTGGTGGATAACTACAAACAGAATCAATAGTTCTAAAGTCAAATGATTTTTCGGCATTCTCTTCTATTTTAAGTGAAACATGTACATCATTAGTTGTAGGTGTAGAGAATGTTGTTTTATGTAAATCTGGCGTTGATAATTCATTTAATGGAGATAGAGTACTATCAGTAGGTCGAGCAGATGATTCAGTTAAAATATTTTGATTATCATGAGTAGAAGATAAAGGATGACGTGGACATAATGTATTTAACAGGGATGCCAGTGTATCATTACTGAATGATGATGATGATGATGACATAGAGCATTGATTTGTCTCTGTTGAGACTAACAATAAATCATCCATATTAACATCTGTATTAGAAGAATTTTTAGATAATGAAATAAATGACATTACATTATTAGATTGTAATGATGATAAATTTGGTGATGATATTAAGCTGGATATACTATGAACTTGAGGTAAATGATCATTGAAAACGATAGGTGTTGTTACCATCGGTTCATTATTCGATACTTTAATGGATGACCATAAATTATTAGAATTTGATGGTGTTGAAAGTGTTGTTGATTTAGGATGTATATTACTAACAGATGCTTCATCACCTTTGATTGTTGTCAAAGTTTGATTATCGATTGCCTGTAAATTTGATCATATATGTATATAAATATAGATGAATACAGTAAAAATTGTTTACCAGTATAGGGTGGTGGAGTTTGTAGAATTTCATTGAAATCATGTTAGACCACCATTGAAAACCTAGAAGCACTGCACAGCCGTTTCGTCCCAGCATGGGACTCTTTGGTAGTGCGTATCCACAATCCCGCACGCGGGACTCGGATCAAGTACCTCCAGTCTCGCACGGACGCTTAACCTCTAGAACACTGAGCAGGGATCCGACGACTTTCTTGTCATATTCCAACAAGTCCACGATAGTGAGCCACCAACTTCATGTTCACACGAGACTGAAGCTACTGAGTTTGAATCCCACGTGCGGGATTGTGGATACACACTACCAAAGAGTCTCATACTAGGATGAAACGGCTGTGCAGTGCTTTCAGGTTTTCAATGGTGGTCTAACATTCATCGGTTTATGATTCCAATGAAATTCAACAATCTACACAACCATATAATGATAATTATCATGTACTTACTGATGGCTGGTTTTGAGAGGTAATTTTCCGAGTTCTAGTGAGAAGCTATGACCAGTGGAGTTCAACTGTGTGAGGTATGACGCAGTTACCTACCGAGGACAGTGACCACTTTATCAATGTATCTACTGAACAGTTTCTTATTATAAGCTGTAATAATACATGGTTAGTTAAATGGTACACAGACAACCCAGAAGTTACGAATGGGATGCGCATCCTAAATATCAGCCTTAATCGTTATCCAAAATATCATACTATCAAACAAGTTGACGATGTCTAATAGTGATTAATCTAAGGCGTAATGATCGATATCTAGTTGTCTTAAAACTAAGATCAATTCGTGATTAAAATTATTTCAAAGTTACTAGTCACTTTCGTGGAACCAAAAACTTCATTATAATATAAAATTCACTTTAAAAGAACAACTTACCTGAAGTAATTGAACTGAAGATTTAGTCGTACAAGGATTTGCTGAAGTATTGTATGATGGAGGTAAATTGTTTGAAATAGGTGTAATTGTTGATGGTTTTGATTGTAATTCTTTAGTTAGAATTGAATTTTCAGTTAAACGTTTGTTGACTTGTGATATAATACTAGTTCGACGTCGTGCATTAAATGCCTTTAAAGATTCTAACGATGAAGTTACAGGTGAATTATTTTCATTCTCAATCGTACTTGTGGACGTTGAAGAGATAGAACTAGACGATATAAAAGTGCCAGTTAATGATGTCGATGTTTTCACACTGACTTGAATGGGTACAGTTGATTGTTTCGGTAGTAATGGGATATATGGTCCTTGACTTATTGCTACAGATGAAGTTACTTGCCGTTCATGATCTAATTGACGTTCAACAATAGGAACTTGTATCTAAATACATTAGAAAAAGAAAATATTAGTGCAAAAGCAGTGAGATCAGGAAAAATTTTAGGGAAACTTTGTGTCTGTGACAACAATACTGCATACAGATCACTATGGTTGAAATAAACCTCAAACTTGGAAGTACAATTTATAAACATATGTATAGTGTAAGAATATTTTGGACATAAATATCAATTTATTCAGGTTTGGTGTTAACCCTAGAATTTCGTGAACGGTCATCACTGGATTATGTGATCGATCAGACATCATTATGCAAACATAGTGAATGTGGAATCGACACTATATGAATTTTAATCTGAGCTTTTAAGTATTTACAGCTCTATTACGTTACACAACAATTATATTTAAACATAATGGACTATTACAAAAGGCATAATAAAACAATGCAATTTTCTGTTACTAGCAGTATCAACCGATGTTAGTAACTCGTGCAAATCGTATTGAACCTGGTGAAGTCCGAACTAAAGACTGAGCAGATAGATGCCTAATTTACTAGGTAAGTCCAACATGTTGATAGTTTATTGAGTAGTCAGTCAGTCAACTACAACATAAAACCAGGCACATATATGCATCGGTTCAAGTTGTCACACCTCATTAACACAACAAGGTGAACACAAAATTTATAGAAGCAGCTACTTTAATGGTTGTATTATATATAAATAAAGATTGCATATAAGGATACAGGGACGAAGAATTAGTCTGTAGAAAGGAAAGAATAAATTGATTTTAATCTCACGGTTTAAGAGAAGGCAAAGAATTTATACACCTAAGCCATCGATTCTGAACCACGTCACTCAGTTTCAAACCACTGGTTACGATAGTCGCGTGGACCCCAACCAAGTAGTCTGCATCTACCAAAATGGCTAAGACTAGAAGTTAGTGACTTGAAAGATTGATGATGCGTTTTGGTTTGACCGCCCATAACTTTCTGTCATTCGTCTCTAATACTAGTCACAATTTCATTAATAAAACAAAGATTCAAATTGTGTTGTAAAATCTACTTATGTAATTTGTGGCTTCTTTTAGTTGAGCTTTCACATTGAAAAAAACAAGCTTCATACTTAAACTAACTTTTTGTCCAACTGGTTGTTGTAATAAGACCAGTTTTGGACTTTGAACTGAAGCTATTGGAGGCCTCATTAAACTATTTGTTGTTAATAATGAAGAAATAATTGGATTTGAAGCTGAAAAGGTGGAATTCAGTTGAAAAATGGATGGCTGTCCATTAATAAGAACTTGTATAGTATTTGGCTGAGAATACATCATAAGTGACGGTTGCTTTGCTGAAATACTGGTAGTCACTATTGAAGGTTGAGCTGTAACCATAATAGGTAATTCGGATATCTGTGAAAGATGATTTTCAGTTAGTGTTTTTGGTAATAATGTTGATGTGCAGCCTTGAGTTGCCGTAACTGTAGAAATTGTAAGGTTGTTAACGCTAGGAATAGCTTGAGAAGAATGACAAGATGTAGGGACTGGTGTATTGCTTCGAATGGAATGACGAGACTGAAATTGAAGATTACATTATTTAAATATAACTGAATTACAAAAACAAACGAATTAAATTAGATGATGATATAGGTTAAAATACACCCACGATTATAATCTAAATCAATTCATACGTAAGTTTCTTGTAGGATGAGTAACTAACTAAAACAATTTATATTTAATAAGTTTATTGATGACAGCCGACCACTTAATAAAAACCAGGAGTTAACTAAAGCATTCGTTGTGATGAAATAGTTAATTCTTTTTCACACGTTACTTTATTTTAAAAAATAATTCAAAAAGAAAGAGCAGCAGCATTATCTTACTACGCTAAATAAAACTGGTTTTGCTGGCTGAAATGGACAATCTATTTGTCAAAAACTATATACAACTAAGTCAGATATATATTATAATATTTAAAAACAGCATCAAGGGTATGGAAATAAATCAACTTACAACCCAATCACGATGAAGTAAATAATCACTGGCATTCAAATGTAAAAGACGCCTTAAACCATTACTTATACCGTCTCCATCTGGATCTAATGGTGGACATATTAGTAAGTCGGAGTAAGATGAACTCAATTGTTTCTGTAATCCTTTATCTTTAGTGCAGAAAAATTGATATTCAAAACGTATACGATCTGGACAACCCAAAGACAAATAAATAGTTACCAGTTTAATTTCACGTGCCATCTGATATAATTGAGAAAAAAAGAACTGCATTGCATCTGCAAAACCGAGTCATATTAGTCAATCAATGAACAAAATTCATTAATAAACAAATTCAAATATTTTAACATTATCCAAATTACTCATTAAATAACTACCCGCATCAATGTTCTAGACCGAGTATTGATGGAAATTCGCTGAATAAGTCGTAAAAAGCGTGTGAACTGAAAACTAGTAATCTTTATTCAGTATTTTACTCAGCGATAAATATAATTTTTTTAAGTAAAAATGGTTGGTGGATCGCAGTGGAATTAAGGACACACGTTTGGTCCTTATTGGGACTCGTCAGCTGGATGTGCCTGTATCTCAGAGTTGATGTTCACTCCGGGACTCAAAACAATACCAAATGAATCTAAGTTTTTTAGATGCCGAAATTGGCCAGAGAAGTTGTACCTTAAAAATTATGGAACATGAAATCAAACATGCATTTGTAAAGTATTTTGTCTGGTATCATGGTGAGAAAAATTAACTTGGCTTCTTCAAATGAATACATGATCACTATTTAGGAATATATATATCAGTAAAGAGTGATGTAATGCTTTAGTTTACAGTGTTTAATAGGACGAAGAGATTTACAAATTAAAGATTTCCACATTAAAAATAATCAAACCAAACAAGTTGATCACGTAAAGTGGGAAAGCAATCCAATGTTTAATACCATATTTTTATAATCATCATATTCATATTCAGTATATATATATATATATATATATATATATATATATATAAACAAAGCTATTAAATAAGGGTACTTAGCTATACCAATGACTTATGAAGTAAGTTTACATAATTTTCTTCTCAATTTAGAATAGTTACGTTAACAGTCCTTTTGTGCTAATATATCACATCAATCAAGTTATTATAACTAGCAATTTGAATCAAGTAGATTTGTATAGTACGTTGATCTTAGTCATTCAATGACAAAATACTGTAACATTTATACTGCTTAAATGTTAAGATTAAAATCTAGAAAACAACTGAATGAATATCAAGTATGTATTAGTCAGATTCAATACTACACCACTAGGATAGTGACTTCAGTTCAAATAATTTCTGATAGTAATGTGTTAGTGCACAGCAACGGGATTGAAAATACGCAAACAGTAATACCTGGAAAACGTTAAATAGATATGTAGTGCGAGATAAAATAAGTTTACAAGTGAAGTATTTACAATGATATTTATTTAAGATGATAATTATATGTTGTATAGACAGTGTTTGGTCCCAAGTACTTACGATTTTGTGGTTTCCCCTAATAACTGCAGATGGATCCTTAATATTACTATGTTAACTAATATAGAAGTTTGTTTTCTAACAATATTCAAATATTATATAATTTATCACTCATTTACTTTAACCTCATTATGATTAAACAATGGATTATTAATTGAATGAAATCAAAGAACAAGAATACATTACAATTTATATTTTAGTGTTTTATAAAACTGAAGCTTTTTTAAAATATATTAATCTACAAAATCCTCCCTGCTAAAACAAATTTTAATAATAGATGGAATTGAATTTGTGGTAAATAAATTTATACATTATTTGGTCCATTATCAATATTTAAATTATGTAAAGGGAATGAACGCGAAAGTTACATATTATCATGATTCAGTATAAATCAATCAGATACTAAGAGATAAACAGAGTAATGACATAGTAGTCATAAATTAAACTTTACATTTAGATACTAAATCGATCGATGAATCAGTAACTTTTCAAGGTCTTTTGATTTATAACTGATAATTTACTAAATAACTTTTGAATATGTTTACTTTATATAACATTGAAATATATGTGCTACTGAGTTTGTAAGTAGTAGGAGACCCTTTAATATTCGTTCGGTAAAAATTTATGAGTTATCAATTAACGGTTTATACCAGCATAGACTGATCCATCAATTCATTATCTTGTAACAACAATTAATGGATAGCTATTTGTTATTAGTGATAATTAATCACAGCTAAGTCCGAAACTAACAGATATTAAATTCATGATACTTTACGGTCTACTAAAGACGTGTTACATTATGTATCACTGAATTTCCCATATAATAGCACGATAAACGAACAATAAATACTATGAATCTTGGTCTTGGTGTATGTTTATTAGTTGAATGACAAGAGCCCCCTACCGGTGTAGGGACATTTTATCCCCTACTTATATTGAAGAGGGTTTTGTGAATATAGTTTATTCGACTATTTCTCTCTTTGAGAATATGGTTTTATTTTTAATATGTTTATTCTTTTGTATTTCAGTTATTTTGACACACTATGATATATGGTGCATTACATGGTACTTTAATCAATCAACTAGTCGTAAACAAAGTAACATCAGACTCCAATTGCCACAGGGACAAATAACGAGATGAAATTAACAAAATTTGCAGCAAAAAAGTCGAAGTAATAATATCATCTAAGGTAGTGAATAAGGATTACACATAGAGATTACAGTTCGAGTAGAATGAATGAATTAGTGGGATAAAATACGTACAAAAAGAACTTGAAACTTAAGACAAATAGTGTAAACAATCGGGTCAATGAGATTGATTTCGAACCACATCATGACACTTCTCCATTCATTACGATAATCATGTAGAAACTAACTAGGAAGTTTGCACCTACTAATCAACGATTTCATGGAATGATACCATGCCTTGGATTGGAATTAAACATTACCCACCCAGCGGTTTCCAAATATCAGAGCAATCCGATAATACTGCTAACGTATGTATGTACTGTATGTTCAAAAACCATGTTACTCGATGCTTACATTAAACTCACTTTAAGACAAATGTACAGAAAATATTGCTTAGCCGATTGTGATTCACAATTACTGCATTATTTTAAATCTACCAAGTCGCGTGACTAAACCACCGAACGACAGTTGCGAATTAAAATAATAGGTAGGATTCTAGAATTCTGGTGAACTTGTTAGATAGAACAAGAATTCTTGAGAGAATAAACAAATACCATTTACAACAAAACCCTGAATAAGCACAATTATAGTATCCCACACACCCACCTCACGTGTAACACCAATTGATAATTGTTTCCCAAGATCTCTTAGATCTAACTCAGCATTTGACGTTGATGTAGTATTTGGCAAGTTATTATTTAATTCTGAATTTCTGAGATCTGACGTACGTAATGATGACGGTGTTAAGTTTGTTGACATATTCGAAGTAACTAAATTTGGAGATTCCACAGGATCGTCGTGAACTGCATTTTGTTTTTCTGATAATCAGAGTAAAAATAAAATTAGCTAATGGACAGTTTTAGACATTTGTTTTCCTGAAAACGTAACCCGGTCAAATTTGGGAAACATGATAAAAATATTTTACTTCTGTAAATAAGCGTAGGCTTAATGGATTTGAATTTGATTTGGCGAAAATACCCAGGCCAAAATACAAACTAAATGATAGCCTTATATGTTTGGTATAATGTGGGATTCTCAGGGTAAAATACATTGATCTTAAACAAACGTAAATATTTGAGTGGGAATAATGTGATAGGGAAGGACACTGAGAAGTCGTACTCCTTATAGATCGGTCTCATCTAAAGCACTACTGAGAACAATGGAGCACCAAACAGATGTTATGGAACGCTTCAAAGGTGTGGATCCACGATCGAATCAAGGACCTTTAGGTCTAGTAGAGAACACTTAAAATTTACACGGATAATTCATACCGACATGGTTTGATCGTAAGGATAATGAACAAGGATTAAACATCAAACAAATAAGTCAATACTGACCATTAGGTTTCCCTATTTTTCGCGTAACAGCACGTTTATTATTATACCAGCTAATATTTTATGTGAATATAAAACGTTATTTAATTCACTACCAATATTTCTCTAACACGTAACTGAGCTATTTCTTTCATGACGTAGCAATCTTAAGTTCTATTTTTAGAAAGGACAGTTTCGTTAGATTGTTGGTACTGTTATGAGAAGTATCTTGGGTAAAAATACATGAAAAGCACCTTTAAATATCTAAAATTATGTTTTGATTCGGATACACATTACAATGTACGACTGAGAGACAGGATTATCAAGAACACCATATGAAAAAGTTAGATTTTCTTAACATAGAGTTGAATATTTCAGATTATTTATTATGTACATACATTGCTGTGTTCATTCAATACCTTACTGAAGGTTATTAAATTACAACCTGGTATTAAATAGAGAATCAAACTCATGGCCAATATCATACCGAATTCCTATGATGGATTTAACTGCAATCCTGACCAATGACAATCAGGTTATTATTTAGTGCTGACAAAGTGTAAACTATAATTAATCAAAGAGATTCATCAAAGTTTTACACACACTCTGCCATTTTATCCTATGATGTGTTGTGCTAGGATGTTTACGAGAATAGATCACTACAGACTGAACAACATGTAATCGACCACAACGGAAGAGACAAATCTGTTTTTTATTATTGTGTCTACCACATACATCATTTTATGAGCTATTATTCCAAATTATAAATCCAACCACTCAGCTAGTGAGTCAATGGATGCGCAACAATTCATTTACATCTTAAGTAATATAAAACACAGAAAAAGAAACAGAATTCATCAAAATAATAAAAAAATCTCTAGTTTACATAGTTTGTTGTTAAAGATCAACTATCTACAGTATAAGAAGATGAAACAACACAGTATTCGAGATTATAATTTACACAAAGTCTATATATTTTATATACTACTATAATTACGGACAAATTCAATGTATTTCTTTCTTGAAAGAAACGATTAAATTTATTCTAACTAATGATGGTCAATAAAATGATCAAATTACAATGATAGGCTCCATAATCCAGTATACGTAAAAATATCTTTTTACCAAGAAGAAAAACAATCGTAATTCTAAGATATTAACACAAGAAATAGCTACTCAATATTAACGTAACTGAGCTGACAAATCTTTGATGCATCACTGTAAAGAATATTAACTTTATTCTGTTCCGGTTGTTGATGATGATTTGTATTACTATAATCAACTTACTTTTGCTTATATATTATATCCAAGATAATCTTTGGACATTTCAAAGTATTCGAAGATTGATTTTCTTAGACTAACACCTAAAAGTACCATAAGACTTACCAATCAGATGGGTCATATAGAATAAATTTGAATACAATATTTCAAGCGATCAACAGAAGGAACAATAGATTAGGTATTTAATTTGATACTAGTTGACATTTAACATTTGTTTAAATTTTAAATTATTGAATATATAGGTATCGCTTGCTGATTGCTGCAACTGCCTTATAATGATAATATCAAAGTATTCTGGTCATTTTAACATCAATCATTTAATTATGGATATAAAAATCCTTTAATCTACTTCATGATGAGCAACTGAGTTGTAGTGATTGCAATGAAACGACGGATACGATTTACTTACAAGTAAATACAATGGTATATGTTTCAATAGAATTAAAAACTGGATTTATTAGATGAAAATATTTGAAACATACAAATCACGATTATTTAGAAAAAATAGGAATTTCAAGAGTAAAACTTGAAAGACCTTTTAATAATTTATCCTCTAGCTTCACACTCAAAATAATTATTAACCAGTTCTTAAGTCGCATTATGCAACTAAAAAAACAAGAAACTTATTTCAAACATTTTAAGATTATCAAAGAACGTATTTATTTAACATAACTGCCAGAGTTTTTAATAAACACAACTATGATATCTGTGGATCCTTATTCGATGAGAAAATCCCAAGATGAAGAATTTCATTCATGGGAAATCAGAAATGATATATCTAGGAGTAATATCCATAAAGAAGTTGAAGAAAAACTTGTTCTGCCTTAAGTGACAATTATATAGGTAATTCAGATGAATAGCTATAAGCCGTGACTAAAAAACCCCCATCGAAATCAGCTATCTGTAGTGTACTAAGGTAATTTAATTGAATTATCACAAGACTTTAAAGTCAATTAAGTAAAATGTTGTTTATCGGTTACTGTTTGTAACTACAGTCATATATGAGTAAGTTTACTTGCGTGGAGAACAACTACAACCATAATCAAAGAAGTAAAGGTATTTATAATAAATTGTCTAAGCATGATACTTAATATTTTGATTGAGATCATGAACCGACTGATGTTAGACCACCATAGAAAACCTGGAAGCACTGGACGGCCGTTTCGTCCTATTGAGGGACTTCTCAATCAAAAATTAACAATCCCCACAACCCCTAAACTGATACTTAATATTTGTTGGACGGATACCATCAGCAAAAACCGATTACTGACAATGAACAAACCCACTTCCAAATGAAGAGGAAATTAGAAAAGACGCTGGAGGTGGGTAGGACACATATTGAGGAAATATCATTAAGCTGGATTATGAGGCAAACCCTAACTAGAAATCCTGAAGAAAAGCAGATCAAGGGACACATTGCGTCGGGGATTGGAAGTAGACATCGAAGGAATGAATAACATTTGGTAACAACTGGAGAGAAAATATGAGGACGGAATACGTTGAAGAGTCCTAGTCGGGGGCTTACGCTCCACTATGGGTAGCAGGAGTAAGTAAGATATACTAGTGTTTCATGATCTGAAAACGTGTAGAGGCATGTTACATATACTCAACTTTATAACGAAGCCACGTCCGGTTTTCCTGAATTCTACTGCTCCAAACTACAGCTAGGTCCTACTAAATTAAGGAAGCGAGGATTTTTGAACCTATGTGGCATGAGCTGATTTACATTTGGTATGTGTTGGGTGAAGACAATGATATGGTATTACGCAGAAAACAGTAAGCTTACTGAGTATTTAGCAAAGTGAACTACTGTAGTTACAACAGTCAAGTGTTTGTCTGCAATTACAACTACATAACTACCGCTGTACAGACATTTATGATGACCTTGGAAAAAAATCAAATGAAGCTAAAAATTCAGCTTCAAATAAAGATTATATTAATGTTGTTATTTGATAATCCGTGTACACCATATTACTATAAATGATTCATTTCAATTTTCTGGTTTCATAAAATCTTTTGAGACTACTTACGGTGCCGAGGACAATAAAATTTGATTTTCATGAAAGTATTATATTTTAACTTTTTGTTAGATAAATTAAAAAACCGAATAGCCCGAGATACAAAATCTAGACCTGACGAATCACAGTTGATTTTTTTTGAAAAACTAGTTTTAAAATCACTCTTATCACGATGAAGTTTGTTAGCATATATTTCAATCACATTTACGTTCTGAATGAATTAATTTTAATAAGTTACTTTTTTTGAAAAAAAAGTGTGACTGGTTTATGCAAATCAAAATATTTCACTTTTTTTCAATATCTTGTTTAACTGTCAGAATGAAATGATTGAATGAATTGATGAGTAATTATGAAAATCAACATATAATTTGATTTTATAATATTAATTTCAGTTAAATTATTCATGTCTTCAAGAATAAACTATTGATAATTGAGACACAATATTGTTTCGGTGTTTTATTGTTTTATAAGAAATATTCATTTTACTAAATACGTACGTAGTTTGTAGAAATATTAGTCGATTTTTCATTAAAGTTTAAAGCAATACATACAGTCCATTAATCCTGCTCACACACTACTCCATATGGTAGATTTAGTAGCCACATTCAAGGAAGATCTTTAAAAGTAATTAACTAGATCTTACAAACTTTACACACTTTAAATGTTATATACTATTAAAATTAGGGTCAAATTTGATTAATTTATATCAGCTTTTTGTAGTTCAAAAATAAACGGATGATTGTCATCTACAAGTTAAATGAACTACTTATCAGAAATGGTGTAGTCTAGTTTTCCATTAGCTTTCCCAGACAGTGTATATTACAAGATTCAGTATCCATTATCTTTCTCCTAAAAACACCTGGCAGACTATAAAGTTACAAAGCAAAGTCAAGTTGAAGTAATACCTAGTCTATGTCAGTGATATATAGCAACAGTTTGTATGATCTTACACATTTCTTTAGACGGAAAATTGTAGAGGCTTCTTGAACTACGTATATTTCACTAGCCATTCACAATCTAGGAATATTTAAGTGGAATAACCTTTAAAATTTCACATTAGGCTTAAATAAATAAAAAGTTAAAATTCAAAGAAAAAAGATGACACGTCGTTTAGTTACTTTAGAATATACCTGTGGGGCATACATCTGACGGCATCCTGGATTTATGGAGTTTGGTATCCATTCGATCTAAATAAGCCCGTAATCCAATGTCGCCTGAACGAATTCGCGCCACTTCTTGTATGCGGATGGCACCATCGATAGCTTGACTATAGCATAAGTTGAGCATAACCGATGGGACTGTGGATTCGTGGACCACTGGGAAATCAAGAAGCGTTCTCTAAAAAGGATAAATACAATCACTGAACTGTTACATCCAACAAAGAAAGTATTCCATATTTTAAAATCCCTTATCTTATGCACTACATTATTACAATTGATGGGTTAACAAACATTAAAGCGTGGTTTGAATCCAGACATAATGTAGAAGGTGCAGTATATATATTATTGGTAAATAACCACGTTCAGATCACTTCGAATTCAAGGTTGAATAAACGAGTGAGAATTTTAAATGGTAAGAAGGTTGTTAGCTACACAAAATTGAAGGTGATGCTCGATAGTCAATATAGGATCAACAATTTTCAGCAGAGGCTCTAAATTACTATCTTTCGCGACTAAATCAGTCAGTCACAACGTAGGTTCAGGCAACGTGTATAAGGATATAATACAGGAAGAATGTATTAGTTCGTAGAACTAAATGTATAGAGCAATTTGAATCTCACTGTTTAAGGGGAGATAGAGAATGCATACACCTTCACCACTGTGATTGATTCTAAGCCATGTCACACACAGTCTCCAACCATTCGTTACGATAGTCACGCGGACCCCAATCAAGTAGTCTGCATCTAACAACATGAATCAGACTAGAAGGTAGTGACTTCAAGCACTGATGACACGTTTTGGTTTGGCCAACCCTTACTTTCTTACAACCATCCCCAACACTAGTCAGCATTGCACATCGTGTTAATCGGTATTCAGGCATAGGTAACACGTGGCCCAACCATCTCAGTCGATGAAGATTCATAACCTCATCAACTGATTTACCATCATTTCCTAAGACTGTGTGTCTAACCTCACTATTACTTACCCGGTGATCCCAACAGATGCTGGCAATATTTATAAGACATTTGTCATTAAATACTAGTAGCTTACGAGTATCTTCTACTCTTAAAAGCCGTGTTTCGCAGCCGTATAGTAGAACGGAACGAACTGACGCGCAGTATACTCGTCTCTTACTTGATAGACAGATATCTCGCCTTTGCCATAGATGACGTAAGTTGGCAAAAGTCAAACTAGCTTTTCAAATCCGTGCTGAGATTTCGTCAGACACCAACCCATTAGGGCTGATCAGACTTTCAAGATAAGTGAAGTTGTCAACGCGTTCGACTACTTCACTCCCTATCTTTAGTTCAGTCGTTGACGCACGCGAGTAAATCCCATTAATTATCATGAAATATATAAAATGTCTTTCAAATTTATACTCTTAAGGTTCGACTTAGCGTCAATCAGTACAGAGTACTTCTATGTGACCCGCAGACGTTTATCGACATCGGAAAAGTTGTTGCGTTAAACTTTTCAATAGGTCGTTTCACTACTTATAAGTAGCTCAAATAAAGCACAATAATCGCCCTTTACAAAAAACACATCTTACTAAAACATCTCAGAATTGTGGAAGTACAATTATTTTGTAATCCAAATTAATCAGTTTACAATAGTTGTAAAACTCAATATTCATATTGCAGACTAAACTTAAAGTTCAATCAGATGAGTATTAATCATCCAAAATCATATTTACAATTATTATCTTGTGGATTTGAATATGTCATGATCACAAATGTTTTACTCAAGATTTGGACATGCCATAGGTTGTAGTAATTTTGAACATAGTCTGTGAAGGCATACATTTAAAGTATATGGTTAAAATAAACTAGCACTTGACAAAGAACAATCATTACAATTTGCTACATAATATCTACCATACGCTCAGCAGCCAATTGCCATTTGTTTTCCACTAGGAAAATAACATCTGAAAGTTGACGATTAATATCAACGCGTAGTCTTAAACGGGGATTTTGCTCTGCTTCTATTACTCTCCATGCATCTGTTTGTGTCCGTGGAACTAATTCAATCCATACATCTTCAGGAAGTAGGAATTCATGTGTAGGTGCTAAAATTTGATTTGAATGAAGAAAACTTCATTATTTTAGTTGAAAAAATTTAAAAGTATTTGTTGAATGAAGCCTCAACAGGACTAAGTACCTAAATACTGAGCCTAATGTTCTATAGATGAAAATCTTATTTAAGATAAAAATATATGAGCTATTAAAGACGGGAAATTAAAAAAAACCGATTAATCAAGAAGAGTGCGTGAGTAAATTGACTTTGAATTCTGCCTAATATGTATGGGCTGGGAAAACGCAGGTAACACATGAATTATATATAAGTAATGACCTTCGGTTAGCTCCTTACTTTTTAATTCTTATGGCTCAAAAAGGAAATTTGTAGAGGGCTATGAAATTGTTAAGGATAATTTTTTCCTGATCACTTTTGTCGCTATATAATCAGCAGTACAACTTTGCTTTAGAGCCAAATATTTATTGCTTCTGGTTATATCACTTTCTAACAATCTTGAATTACTGTGTTGTCCATTCAGATAAAATACGAAGCGTAGTTAGCCTTAAACACTCAAACATAATAAAAAAGCTAGGAACAAATATGCCATAACAATGCTTTTTAATAATTACAGGTCTATTAAATTAAAAATCTTATGCATGTATAATTATGAAGTACCAACATACCAGAGATGTTATTTAATTGCTTCAAAGCAGGACAAACAGGAGTACGTAACAAAAAACGCCGCCCATTGTGTTTGATTACAGTGGTACTGAAACAAAGAAACATATGACAAGACGAAAAATACTATGTATTGGAGAAACATAAATATTTACAATAAGTACAAGTATTAATATTTAAATTCCTTGTCTCCTTACTACGCGTTTAAACATACAAATAACTTCTTAAGGTAAACAACATAAATATTGGAGTACACAATTACATACTTACAAAAACTAAACCAACCAGTCATAAAGTCAAAAAAAAAAACAATGTCACAAAAATAATAGAATAAAGTGTTGCCGAGATCCTTACATATCGTGAACGTAATGACATATTCAAGGTCTACTTATTTATGGAAAACTAACAAGAATAGTTTGTCAAAAATGATCAAGTTTCAACCATCAAGTGGTGAACAGAATCGGACACCATATTTCACACCAAAAAAAGTAAAACAAAATTACTCATACACTGAAAATTTATTCGTCTTATTCAGAGTATCAAAATGATAAAACTATCATCTCTGTAGTAGATCGACTGGAATCTCCCTTTATATAAAATAAGTCATAAATAATAACACACAGGAAATATGATAAAAATGAAAAGCAGCAGTCAAAATTCGTAGATTCAAGTAACATCTTACCACAAGTTCAAGCAATCAAACGAATTCATACACAAGGCCTTCAGAAATATCTGTTTATTGATAAGCACTACTGAGAACGTTCTAGCAAGGTATAATTTCACATTGGCCTTAAAACAAAGCACATTAGCCATTCTGAAATTGTGGTATTACTGAGGTTTAAATTTAAGATGAATTAAATATTTTTTAGCAAACGTCACATAAATACACCAGTTAAGATAGTGTTATGTCCAAACAATAATTAATGAGTTTTTATAACATCTAGATTTGGAACGTTTACTCATGCCCAAAGTTTATGAAATCCTAAAAGGTTGATTTATTCTTTTAGAAAAAATTATAGGAGCAAAAGATTATCTTTTGCTAGAATGTGTCCAGGTTGCCCCTTCGAAAGTAGTCTCAACGAATTTCAAGAAACAAGTAGCGCCTAAATGTCTCAAGTGAACCTCACGTAGACCTGGCTGAGACATCTGGATCAAATTAAACCACATTATGAATGTGAAGGTAAGAACAACAGAAAAGGATAGATAATAAGTCATTTAAACACACTAATAAAGCTCATAGATTTATAAGGATATATTATTTACTCTTAAATTCAGACAGGATATCTCATTCAACAGATTACCCAGTTAGGAACTGTGAAATTACGTCACATCAGTTGTGGATAAAAATAAGTTCAGAATAATGCAAATTATTTTTTACTACAAAGCAGAGAGCAAAAATCACGCACCCACAATGAACTAATTCGTTTAATTTTTCTCCCAATCGGTGGTCCAATGCTAAAAAGATAGATAGAAAAAAAGAATCGGAAACTGGGGAGAAAGTGAACCTGGTATTGTTAGAGGTAGAGAATGGAGAAGCGACTTGCATTAAGTCGCTTCTGTCGGGAAGTGAATAAATGACCAAATTAACAAGTTTAAATAGTACGCAGGAATGAAACGGAATATATAGTGTGATCAAAAACAAGTCTGATCACAGTAATATCGAATTATTTCGGTTCGAGTAATTCTGTGTGAAATAAACTCGTGTATTTGAGTGTATTCTAGCAGATGTGAAGAGTGTGACATTTTTAATGTGGAAAAAATAGTTAAATTTATGTGTTAATAGTGTAAATGGAATTAAATGTGGTTGTTTGAAAAAAACGGTTAAAGTTGGATAAATAGTCGAACCTTCAGCGAGCAGAGTTTAAAACCATATAGAAATCTTCAGCTACTTGCCTTTATTTATAGTTGGAGTAACCTTTTGAATCCATTTATTACCTTGATACCGATTCGATGGGTGTTGCAAATGGCATGTACTTCTATTACTAACTTGATTTGAAGATCTTTCAGTTATACATGATTGGCACGGGTCAGGATTTCGCGAAAACACTCTAATATACAAGACATCACAACTGACACAACCTAATCCGTAGGCATAATTCTGGTGAGAAGTTAAAAAGGATCTCTACCTTTATTAGAAATAAATAATTTCAAAGTCTTAGTTGTTTCATAAAACGCTTCAATTCTGTGTAATTTAAAGGTTTGTCGAATTCTTTGTTGCACCATGGTATAGTGAAACTAAAGTACCAAATCATAATAGTTCGATTAAAGCATTAATATAATTCAGTAAAAGATAACTTCGTTTTAGTATAGTTTTAATAATATTCACTGGAAAATTATTAAATTATAAGACAGTTCTATTTCTTTATTCTGTGTTTGGTAGCTCTTCTGAGTAAATGCAGATTCAGAAAAAATTTGCACTGAATGGATGAGTATAGTTGAAGTCATTGTACCAGTTTCAATGTATTGGTTTTCGGAAGACGCGTAAATTTGCACTTATATTAAAAGCCCTTTTAACCAGACAGTCTAAAAACGATAGTTCGCTAGGTTTATTCTCCCTTTAGAAAGTAAATTCAACGTGATCTGGGGAAGTAATTATCGGTTTAGAGAATTTTTAAAAGATATTTTTAATGATGACAAATGTGTCAACCTATTTGTTGATGACTATACTGTTATACTATATTTATCAGCTTTGGTAACTACTATTGCTCAGTAAACTACAGCCTTGAGTAGATTATAACATATTTATGACTGATCCCATCTAAGGCATAATCATCTCCGAAGTACTAACTAATGCCTACCCTCTGAAACTCAAGCTTGGACCCAGATTGACCACATCACGACTAGCTACCGTTGTAGTTGTACACAGCACTATCATTCCTCTCAATGTTCCTGACTAGATTCTAACCTAGCCCCATTTGTTTGCACCAATCTTGTCCTGTGTTTTAGTGTCCAACAAATTTATCGTCTTAAATTAATTGACATCAACAAACTGACTGCAAATTCTGTTGCAACCAAATATCACACTAACCTGTTGAACCTATCGAAAAGTATAGATGACAACTGGGTGCCTTATCATATCATGGGAACGGAAAGAAATTTTGCTTGAGGTTCACGAAACATCCCGATTATAAGTGATAGGTTTTTACAAAGTTACGTTGGTTTGCTCTGGGCAACTGCAAGTTTGGTGGTCAATGTAGGTTCTTGCCTAAAGACACCGTGCAAAGCTAGCATGAGGATTAAGAAACGTGACGATCGGAATGTACCAACGAGTTGGAAGCAGAATTTAAATCGGGTATCCGCTATAAGTTGTTTCAGTTCATCTGAGACACCAATAGCAAGTAGTGTGGTGACGAAAGCTGATAAGACGTCAATCAATGACATCTACCAAAGCTTGTTGTCCAGGCGAAATCGAACAAACTGTCCTGTTTTTCGTGTAGACTGATCTACCCAGCGAGATGGAAGTCTGTAGGAAGCTCCGACTTCCAAATAACCACAAATCACTAGTTTCTTCAATTAGTTGGACACCAATGTGCTCTGGGATTGTCTATCGAACAAGACTGTGCCTGGGAAGCTTATTAACAAGTTGGAGTCTGTAGAAAAACACTCCAGACAGAACGAGGGCATGGAGATCCCTCTCTTCATTGTTCCATTGAAGCAAATAAGTTACAAAAAATCCCCCAGTCTCGCTATTACCAATCTGAACCCGTAACCTGATGACATGTCGATCTTGAGTATGAGAACGATAGTCCTACTGTACGATGGTACAGAAGTTATCCAATTCGTACTCAACAAGTTGGCACGTACTTTTCATCTTCTAAATCCAATGCACTTATACAAGAATGGAAGGAGCCTGCGTCTAAACGCACTCTTAGTAGTGAGTAGCTAGTAGTCGGAAAGTTTGTGTATTGAGGAATTTTTATAAGTGCTGGTAGTGGTGATAGTGGCGTGACCGATAGAACCAACTTATGTATAGTAATAACTAGAGTAGATCGTCTTTGGTATTGTTCTGTTATTATTCTGGCTGTAAAAGTTCGTCTATGACACGTCAGTGAGAGTGGTTTTGCTCTACACTTGTAAAACCTGGCCTTCCTGAGTTGAGATGTTAGGCTACTCTCCGTACTCCATCATCGTTGTAGCCGAAGGATTGCTGAGATTCAAAGTCCTATACAAGAACTTCACTAAAATGAGAAATTCTTCTTAGCCCTATTTTTTTAACAGAACTACTGCTTTTTTTGTTTTCTTAATCTCATTTACATATTTTTATTAACTTTTTCTATCCCATTCACTCTCCTTCTCCTGTATCTTTAAAATTTCACTTTTTTATTACGTGGCATATATTTGTTTTGACGGGATTAAAAAAAAATTACACTCATTTACTCATTCTGATCTCTGTCCAACGTTACTTCCGTTTTAATTCAGTGTGGTGATTATTCAGCGTAGTATTTGTTTTGTTTTCCAGTGTGATATTTCATTCGGTATAACATTAATTTATTTCAGTGTGCCGTTTATTCAAAATATGATATTATAACTCTAGATATTTTTCATAAACGTGATTTTATCTTAATGAATGATCAAAACAGTGTACAATCAATACATAATAAGTGTATTTTAGACTACAGTAGTCGTGTTTTGGGATTAATAAATATTTAGTCTTGATATTCCTAGTTCGCGTCATGAAAAATGCAGGGTTTCTAGCTTTACAGGTATGAGTAATAAGCAATTCCAACATAACAATTATCGACGACCAGACATAACACCGCTTCGCACTAATTTTCACTTTTAAACAAATGGATGAAAACGTCCTTTCGTAAAGAACGTAGGGTTCTTAATTCCTCTTTCGAAACATCTGAAGGAAGGCATTTTTGCGGAAATGTAAGGTTTTCTCGATATTCTAGATGAGCCGCTTTTCATGTAGTTGTTCGAGTATTGGTTTTGTAGTTGGAGCGACTTCTATAACATTGAGTGTCTTTCCATGTAAATTAAAAGTTAATTCATGGTTATCTAAAGCTTCATCTGGAATATTAAGAGCAACTCTTACATAAGAAAGACTAATTTTTGTTGTTGAGCTCCTCTTTTTCGTCTTTTCTTATTTCACTTTAACCTGTTTTTCGGTGTCAGGAGTTCGACGAATCCAAATAATAATTTCTCTTTTAATTGAAAATACCAAAGATAAAATTCTGTAATTTTGAAAAATCAAATAGTTTATTAGATTCACTGTATATAATCCATTAATATATTAGCTAACCTAATTAATAAATGTATGAACTTATGACACACCTTGATAACTAATAACGAACACATTAGAAGTAGCGAATTCCGCTGATGGTGAATGACTGATAACTTCATTTTCTCTTAGCTTAGCCCCTATTATTCTGATTCAGAGGCCCAATCCTTGAGAAATCTGTGGGATTTTTAAGAGGACAATGATCATGCATAAACGTGGCTCTTTTCTTTAGGGAAAGCGTAATAATTTACATATCCAAGAACCAAATCAGTTAAAGCAATTATGATCACATGAAGTTGTGAACTATCTAAAATTTGTTTGTTAGATGGAGTTAAGGAGAAAAAAAGTATTAAGGCTGTTAAGAAAAACAATCCAACTAAAGCACTAAACCTAGGTTTTATGTAGAATTACTGAGTTTTTCAGTCAGTCAGTCAGTAAGAGTTGTGTGTTGGCCCGAGTAACCATAACACATTAGGAATACGAGATAAAAAGTAACAAGATAAATTGAAAGAGGACCACAGTAATGAAGTAACAATGACAATCAGAACCGCTAACCTTATAATTGGGATCAAACGATTAGTATAAATTGTGGCTGGAGATGTTAAGTAATATGGTGCTAACCATTGACAACGGTAAAAACCCATCCAGTTTTTATTTTACCCTAGATATTGAACATGGTATTTACTTTATGGAGTTTCATATGCCTTCTTTTAAATATAATAATATGTCACTCGTTTTGTTGATCGACAAACTTTAGTGTCACAACTTGAAATTCTGTAATTTTGAAAAATCAAATAGTTTATTAGATTCACTGTATATAATCCATTAATATATTAGCTAACCTAATTAATAAATGTATGAACTTATGACACACCTTGATAACTAATAACGAACACATTAGAAGTAGCGAATTCCGCTGATGGTGAATGACTGATAACTTCATTTTCTCTTAGCTTAGCCCCTATTATTCTGATTCAGAGGCCCAATCCTTGAGAAATCTGTGGGATTTTTAAGAGGACAATGATCATGCATAAACGTGGCTCTTTTCTTTAGGGAAAGCGTAATAATTTACATATCCAAGAACCAAATCAGTTAAAGCAATTATGATCACATGAAGTTGTGAACTATCTAAAATTTGTTTGTTAGATGGAGTTAAGGAGAAAAAAAGTATTAAGGCTGTTAAGAAAAACAATCCAACTAAAGCACTAAACCTAGGTTTTATGTAGAATTACTGAGTTTTTCAGTCAGTCAGTCAGTAAGAGTTGTGTGTTGGCCCGAGTAACCATAACACATTAGGAATACGAGATAAAAAGTAACAAGATAAATTGAAAGAGGACCACAGTAATGAAGTAACAATGACAATCAGAACCGCTAACCTTATAATTGGGATCAAACGATTAGTATAAATTGTGGCTGGAGATGTTAAGTAATATGGTGCTAACCATTGACAACGGTAAAAACCCATCCAGTTTTTATTTTACCCTAGATATTGAACATGGTATTTACTTTATGGAGTTTCATATGCCTTCTTTTAAATATAATAATATGTCACTCGTTTTGTTGATCGACAAACTTTAGTGTCACAACTTGAAATGACTAACTAATATATAATAAGGTCGAAATTAGCCTTTACATTGGTTTTGTGACATTGTGATTCAATGATGTATTCAAAGTTATTGACATAACCCTAATATTTATCCGATTTCCGGATCGATAGATGTTTTATCGCTATTCACTCTTAAACACAGTAGGGAGCTTTATTCCTTACTTATTAGAGCAACAAAAAGCGAAAATGAAAACATAACCTTGATGAGATCCAAACCAAAGTCATTCATTACCGTAAGCAGAGATAAAAAACGACGAAAGCATACCATTGCTACAAACTTATTACTTACGTTTCTTAATGCGTGTACGCAGCACAGAATAATTGACAATTGCATAAACCTCTCTAACATGTTGTGGGACCTCTTCGGGAAATTTAGTGTAACGACGTACTTTATGCCAGGTTTGTTGATAAAAGAAACGAACCTGTTCACGAGTCCGACCACCACAAGGTGTATTTAAATCAGAACTACTGGCACAGGGTGTGCCCATTCCAACATTAGGTTGAGAAATATTGCTTGGGCACGGAGCGATTATATTAGATGGGATGAGGGCAGATGATAAACTGTTTGAAGAGACGAAATTATTTCCAGAGTGCAAACTATTTAAACTTAGTTCAATATTGCTACTTGATGACCCATTTTGGTGATCGATTGATGTACGATGTCCACGAGACCGAATGAAACGCGTGATTTCACTGAAGTTACGTCCGTACTATATGTTAAGAAACGAATAGGAAATATTATCACACAATAGTCAAGGTAAACATAACGAGTAATTAGTTATGAATATAATAACCATACTACGGAAAATGGGAAACAGGAAAAACGAGAAAATAAACGGTAAAACAATTAACGTACCATTCTCACGGCTTGAAAAAACAGACGTCTATCATCAGGCGACCAAGTTCCGCGTAACAATCTCGGAGCATTTTCTAAATACAAGAAGCAATAGCAAACCGCCTAAAAACTAACCAGAACGAGTCTTATGTGGTTTATCGTCTACTGAGATCTTTACATCATCGCAGGGTGTCTGACTACTTGTTCCAGATGCACTATAAAAATTGTTTAGATTACAACCGCTCTCAGCAGATTCATATATTCCAGGAGAAATTAACTGGTTTGGTGTGTTTCCTAATAAATGTCCACTCGAAGGGCAAAGTACACGAGCATGATGTCGAGCTTTAACAATCGCAGCAATATTTGGGGCTTCCATTTCTGTACTACGCGTCTTCATACCGTACCAATGGTTCGGGATGCAATGGAAGCTTTTGCTTAACGGGCCTCCGTATCTAGTAGCGAAGGATCACTGATGCCGCCGGGTGGGAACCTAGGAATATTAACAACAAAAGAGAAAAGAGAAATTGGTAAATCATAGTAAGATACTATCCTTAGTCCTTAAGATTGTGTCAAGTTGTCTCTTAAAGAACTCCTGGAAAGTCACTTGGACTAGCTCAGCCGGCAGCGAATTCCAGCATTTAACTACTCTTAAGTAGCAGGAGTTGTGTCTACAGTTTCTGAGCATTACCCCTTAGGTTTATGTTGGAGTTAAACTTAAGCAGGTATTTAAGGGGATGCCTAGAGGTATTAAGGATGCTATAAGCCATCAGGTCACCTCTAAGACGCCTGTAAAGGTTTAACGATTGGAAGCGCTCTTCATAAAACTTAAATTTGAGCCCCCGAACTGATTTCGTGGCTCGCCGTTGGATACGCTCTAGAGTGTCCTTATCCTTTTGGAGTGAGGGAGGAAATACTGTTTCCATACTCTAAATGGGGACGAATGAAACTGTTGAAGACTATGTGGAAAGTTCTTCCATCGAACTGGCCTAAAATGCGCTTCAACGTTACCAGTGCAAGGTTCACTCGGAAGGTATTTTTGTCACAGTTAGCATAAAACTTTAAATGGTAGGGTACCAGCACTCCTCAATCTTTTTCAACTTGGGATACCTTTAGAGAGGAGTCGCCTAAGTTGTAGCTGTAGTCTGCAAGGTGTCCCAGGTGGACTACTTTACACTTCGAAGTGTTAACGGTAAGTCCGTTATCATCTGCCCAACTTTGAAGTCGAGTCAGACCCTCCTGAAGTTTCAGTTTATCTTCTTAGTCACATACTTTCCACCAGAGTATCACACCATTAGCGAAAAGTGGTAAATCTGCGTCGAAATCCTTTGAAATTCGGTGTGATGTGAGCTAGCTTCCAATTTACTGGTAATGTGCCTCGACTTATTGAATGTGAGAACATCACGCTAAGTGGTGTTGCCAAGATTGAAGCTTCTTCCCTTAGTATAGCAGAATAGACTATATTCGGTCCAAAATGTGTCTTTTTTAGGTGCTGCAATTTCCGGTACACTAAGTTAGCGCTCAGATTCACTTCTGAATGTCCTATGGAGTTGCTGGTGAGGCTTTTATCAATATAGTTAGTGTGGGTCGGTTGAAATGTTTGAAGGTACTGTCCTGCCAGAAAGTTAGCGGCGTCACCGTCGTTGTTGGTCGGGCCATTAGGATCTAGCATTTGGGAAACTCCAGTTTCGGCTGCATGACGGAATAAGCTTTTCGGATTGGAGACAAATTCAACCACAAGCTTTATCTGGCACTGAAGCCTATCTTCTCTTATTGCCTTTGTGCATATGTTGCTTACTTGTTTGAACTGCATGTATGCGCTGTTGTTACCAGTTTGTTTGTATTCCGCCCAACAGTGTCTTTAGCAGCTTAGAAAACGAAGAGTGCGGTTCTTGATGACTGTAGGTTGCTTCTAAATTTTGGGGACCGTTTGCGGAACAGAATGCTTTGTAGCACATAAGATCGTGTGCAGTAAGAAAACCCAATGAGCATCCATTTCAAGTTGATGAACTTCATAGTACACCTGCTGTAAATTGTCCTGTAAGGTTGACACATTCTTACTTACGCCTGTTACTCCTAATCGAGCATAGGCCGCCGACCAGCATTCTCCAACCCACTCTGTCGTGGGCTTTCTTTTCTAGTCCCATCCAATTCTTGTTCATTTTTCTCATATCTACCTCCATTTCCGGGCGTGATGTGTTCTTTACGCCGGGACACATTCAACCGTTTGAAATTCCAGTGCCTGTTGTCGGTAGGATGTCTTAACTCAGTTTTGCTGATAAAACTGAAGGTTATGATGGCGTGATCGCTTTTCCCCAGGAGAGCCAGGATTGAGAGGTTGTCAATTAAGAATTCTTCGTTTGTAAATACCTAGTCTAAGCGTGACGGCGTCTGACTGTTTCTCCAACGAGTTGCCGACTTCACATTTTCGAATTATCCCAGACCTTCAGTGAGGTTGAAGAACCGAGCTTCAATAGGGTTTCTACCTCTAATGTACGTATGTTCCACTGGGTGGTAAACAATCTTACTGAGCACCATGCGGACTCGTCAAGATTGATAAACTCTTAGTTGTGCACTTAATGTACCTCCAGGCAAGATCGCAGGCACAAGGCTACTCCGCCCCCAATTCCTGTTGTTATTGGGAAACAAAAACCTCCTGAGTATTACTAGCTCCTAGTCTGTAAACTGAGAAGATATCCATATTTCAGACATTCCTGTCAGGTGAGTAGCATTAGTATTACTGAGTTAACGCAACTCATTCATTTTACTCAGTAAACTCGCGGTGTTCATATATAAGCAGTTTGTGCTTTCAAACGCGTGAGCTTTGTCGTCCCGTTTACCTGTATGAGCCTTATATGAATGGACAGGTAACCTACCTACACAGGGTTTTCCGAGTTAGTGGCCCCTGTCCTTTCTACGTTTTTTTCATGGTCTTGACAGTCCACAAGTAAAATAGTCTGCTCCAATTTGCTTTTGTGTTTGATCCTGGCATCTTGTGACCTATCTAAATGCATATGGATTCCAGTTGGCAACTGGCGCGTGGGCGCGAAGTGCTTCAAGAGTTGCAGCCTCCATATGGGAGGATGGGAAGGTTTTCTTCATCAGCAAAGGTTTAGAACCCCCGTCCTTCTTGGCTGGTCTCACCACTTGTTTTGAGCTTCAAGGACTGCTTGATTAATCTCCATTCCCGGATAGCAGAATTTGTGTAGTCAGGGTTCGTGTTTTCTGGCACTCCTTGTACAATATCTCTCGCGAAAAAACGTCTCGCGATATTCCTTAGGAATGCTCCTGATGAGATTGTGCTCAGAATACGGTATATCAGGCAGTATTCTTACATCTTTTCCCTTCTCTTTAAATTCTCATTGTTTTGTGTGGCGCATATATATTTGGTGCCCCCTGTACCAACATTTATGTGTTCAAATAAAAATTAAAAAACAAACATCCTCTACGTCGGCAGCGTTAGAGAGCGTTACACGAAGTAGTCTTGGGTGATTTATGATGCTTGGAGTCGTTTCCTAAAGTGAGCCATATGACCGTCAAAAACTCTATTTTGGGAAGTTCGGGCTTCCTGTTTCACTCATCCCAGAGCATCCTGTCATATTTGTCCTTCAGACTGAAGGGGTCAGAGCTGTATTTAAGACTCATGATTATGAGATAATCGTCGCGAACCGTGGTCGCCTTTCCATGTTTTCGAATACCCTTGGTAATTGAAGTATGTTTCAGATTCAAATGCTCCTTCCTGACTGGTTGGACAGTCTTAGGCGTAGACTGTACGACCATATCACCAGTTGATTCCAGCACAATACCTGAGATGTTCTGCTTCTTGGACGGTGACACCTGGTCCTTTTTAACTTAGTTGACGGGGTTCCAGTTACCTGCAGTTTCGGGGACAACAGTTGAATTCAGGGATCCTATGCTGGGAGGCCCAAGTTTCACTAAGGGAGTCTAGTAGCGTCAATTTTATGGTGGTGACGAGCCTCAGCATGTCCAGAGAGACCTCAATTTCTGGACGAATCAATTCTGGATGAGATGACAGGCCTCGGATTTTGGTACGAAATTCATTCATCCATTCGGATAAATAGCGTTTTGGCAGTATGGCTAGTGTCAGTTCATGATGAAAAACCTACGTCTAGCTCCTAACTTTGACTATCAACTGTAAATCAAAATTTTAATTCCTTACACTGGTTTATAACCATCATTTGGTAGACACTCAAAGTCACACTAACGTCGACCAAAGGTCGTCCGTAAATTATGGTCGGACTCAATTGTTTAATAGACCCTAGCGAAAGTCTACAATCGTAAAGCAAAAACAGTATGCTCAAAACGGACAAAAACGGGTGATACAAAAGGTCAGGATACACTAAGACGATCCTCGACATGAAAAAACTGAAGCAAACCACAGTCAACTATTAACTTGGGTAAAACTCAAAAAGAAAAGTAATCTACCAAACACTAAGCTCAGGACAGATTCTTTAGATCGAAATTTGTACTTCTGTTGCGTAAGGACAGCAAACCTTTGGGAAATACAGACAACCTTAGGACAAGACTTAGCAACGCTTCAAGGGTATCGTCCACTTATGGAGGTTGCGAGCACTTGAAGAACATTTGTCGTTGGTAAAGCGCGCGTCACAATTCAATTCGAAAAGTTTAAATGGTTCTGGATGGAATGGAAGCTTTTGCTTAACGGGCCTCCGTATCTAGTAGCGAAGGATCACTGATGCCGCCGGGTGGGAACCTAGGAATATTAACAACAAAAGAGAAAAGAGAAATTGGTAAATCGTAGTAAGATACTATCCTTAGTCCTTAAGAATAGATCAAGTCGCCTCTTAAAGGACTCCTGGGAAGTTGCTTGGACTAGCTCAGCCGGCAGCGAATTCCAGCATTTAACTACTCTTAAGCAGTAGGAGTTGTGTCTGCAGTCCGTTCTACCATGTTGTATCTCCAATTTCTGGGTGTTACCTCTTAGGTTAGTGTTGGAACTAAGCTTAAGTAGGTGTTTAAGAGGATGTCCAGAAGTTTCAGGGATACTGTAAGCCATTAGAAGGTCGCCTCTAAGACGCCTATACTCTAACGGGTAAAGGTCGAGTGATTGAAGGCGCTCTTTGTAAGGTTTAAATTTGAGTCCCCGAACTGATTTCGTGGCTCGCCGTTGGATACGCTCTAGAGTGTCCTTATCCTTTTGGAGTGAGGGAGGAAATACTGTTTCCATACTCTAAATGGGGACGAATGAAACTGTTGAAGACTATGTGGAAAGTTCTTCCATCGAACTGGCCGAAAATGCGCTTCAACGTTACCAGTGCAAGGTTCACTCGGAAGGTATTTTTGTCACAGTTAGCATAAAACTTTAAATGGTAGGGTACCAGCACTCCTAAATATTTTTAACTTGTGTTAATCACAGAG